CGGGTGTGGGCGGCAGGGCAGGGCGTGGGCGGCAGGGCAGGGCGGGGCTGTGCGTGCGCGCGCTGCAGTGCGTGCGCGCGGGCTGGGGCTGCGCGTGCGCGAGCTGCAGTGCGTGCGCGCGGGCTGGGGCTGCGCGTGCGCGCACTGCAATGCGTCCGCGCGAGCTGCATCTGTTCGTGCGCGCGTGCTGCCTGCTGCGCGTGCGCCGAGTCGAGCTAGCAGCTGCGCGAGTGCGGCGGCGTGCGTGTGCTAGCGCGCGCGCGGTTGTTAGTTGCGAGTGGGGCAGCGTGGGTGGGCGGGACGGGACGAGACGAGGCGATATGGGGGGCGCTACAGGACGGGAGGGCCTGTGAGGCGCTACGGGACGGGACTAGGCGCGGGATAAGCTGAAAAACAGGCTTTAAATCGACCTGCTCTGATACCATCTCAAGTACTAACTAGTTTAGAGACTAAGGGAGGAATGAATGCATTAGGTCAAGGGGAGGGGGGATACAAGCAAAGTGTCGATAGAGTTCTTGTACCCCTTAACATGCAACTCACTACAGCATATATATTTCTACTAACATAGTTTGACAGTATGCTGTAACGAGGAGAGCGAGAGCACTGCAGCGAACGGAACCATGCTATGTAAGCTACAGCGTGGCAAGGATGCAGGAGATGCGATGCAGGCGGAGGCAACAGTAGCAGCAATAGTGGCGAACACTGTTAAGGTCAAGCCCCAGAACCCGTTCCCGTTCAACCCAAACGAAAAGAGCGTCTCGGTATCAAGATGGTTTTTCAGCGTTAGATGCTTTTTGATGCTGCTAACGGCAATAACAATAGCACATGCCTGCACTAACTTTGGAGCATCATTATGTCAGAATCCCAACCACTAGACCATTGGGATAAAAGGGCTTGTTTCAGTAGCGGGTCAGTGCGCCCATAACCCCCCAGGCTAACAGGCCTGTAACCCCCCAAGGATCAATCGGGGATCTCACAGTGTAAGTCTTCTGACACCCCCCCACACTGGGAGGTCCAGGACTCGGCACAGCGGCAACGGCCTGCATGTGCATACACCGGGATTCGAACCCGAGACCGCTCTGATACCATGTCAGAATCCCAACCACTATACCACTGGGATAAAAGGGCTTGTTTCAGTAGCGGGTCAGTGCGCCCATAACCCCCCAGGCTAACAGGCCTGTAACCCCCCGAGGATCAATCGGGGATCTCACAGTGTAAGTCTTCTGACACATGATTGTGCGTTGTCGAACTAGTGGCATCAAACTTTACAGTTACTGTATTTACCCAGGTAATGGACCCCCCAGAATCAAGGACCCCAAGGTATATTCTTATATATAACTGCATGTAGATAGCTAGTGTAGTATCGCTGTAGAATTATATCTATTGGTGGTACACTCCCTGGCCACCTTTCCTTGCTCTATATCTTGTACTTGCTCCTATAGTGAAACCCCTTCTTTCTTATCCCACGTTACTCTCGCTACTCACGTTCCTAATCTCTTAATGATGTTTCTTGACAGATAACGCTGTGCTGTAGTAGGGAGAATTAACAGGAAAAATACAATAGAGTCGACGACGGAGCGCGCCACAGTCTCATCAACGTGATGACGACAGAAGAAACAAATGGGAGTAAAGCTGGATTGGCGTCTACTTGCGATTAACGTGCAATTGGAGAACGAGACAACGCTGGGAGGATAGCAAAGTTTGGATGAAGAGCGGCGACGATTTCGGGTTCGACATAAAGGCGTTGGCAACGAAGTTGTACGGTTGTGATGTGCTGATTGGCTATGACGCTTCAATCCAAGGATCGAGTGGACTTTAGGAGCATGCACAGCACCCCAGACAAACGGATGGTGCACGTTTAAAAAATGGACGGAGTCGGAGCCGATGACGACACGTGTTCACGATGAAGTGTGTGATACGAAAGCCTACGCCGTTCATCGGTATGAAGTGGCGAGCAGAGAGGCGATTCATGCCATCAACCCTTGGGTGCAAGGCAACTTCTGCAGCTCGACACGAAAAATCTTCGGTTGACCCAACCGGCAAAATTTCGGCCGCGCTTTGTGCGACCATTATGCATCGTCAAGGTATTAATACCCGTCACCTCGAAGTTATTGCTCCGCGGTGATTGTCGCACGTTTGTCTGACATCGCCCTCAATCCCATTTCGCAAAGTGTCTAGCATGTGGATAATTCTGAACCATCGTGTGTTACGTGGATATCATTCTATGACTGGCTGACCAGACGAGTGAAGATGACACATACTATATTTAAGCACATCCGGTGCCACAATGCTAGTTATCCCGCCGTCACGTGCATCTTGTGTACCACAATTCTTAGAAAAAGGGGTATTGTAACGAACTTTAAATCGTGACTGAGTTTACCCCACATCACGTACACCTTGGTCTAATTCCCACTCCTCTAAAAGCTGATTCGCGCCGTCCTCGGGCTTGGCGTCCCCCAAGCCATCGCCCAACATGGACTTTCGGGGTCCTCGCCTAGATAGGTTCCCTCTCTAGTTGTGATAGTTCTGTATGACGTGATGTTGTAACTACTTCCGCGTACTCTTTTGTTTACAACCTGTAATAATAAAATGTTTATCGCGTTATCGACTTTAAACATAAGAATTGGGGTGAATATCGTTTGGGCTAAAACTCTGTATCGAATAGGAGTGACCAGGGTTTAGACTTCAGGTCCACACGCCTGGTCAGGGGTATTCTGTACTCAGGTTAGACTTCAGGGTGTCCTTTCTTGACGTTACACACGATGCTCAGCTGTTGCGCGCAAATTTGGTCTGTCTATTTCGAAAGCCAGCCCAGTTACATTTGGTACCAGCCAGTTCCACCGACGGTACAAGCCCCTTGTTTTATCGTGGCCGTTGAAAATACAGCTTATCACGCTGTCATCCGTCCGTTCGTAAGATATTTTGAAGATGCCTACTACAGTCCCAATTTTTACCCGTGGCGAATGTTGGCGAGGCAGGCGAAATGCTTGTTCTCACTTTACACCTGAAATGACGAGTAGCTTTGTAGAGTAACGGGAATCTGGTGTAGTTTGATTTCTCGAGAGGGAGATCGAGAGTTCTTTGACTCGATAACTTCCGCTAATTGTCTTGCATGATGGGCAGTTCGAGAACTGTAGCCTCTCCAAAGACTGGGACACGACGACCATTGCGGGCGGGAATAGCTCAAATGTCACGCAGAAGGTTCTAAGGAAGTCCTTGTGGGGGCCAGTGTTGATTAGAACATCAGGACGAGATGATGCCAGCACGTGAGAGTACGTGATCGCCTCCTTAGATATATTTTGCTTTCCATACATATTGGAGGTTGGGGTGGCTAATTTTCAGTTGAATCCACTGAGGTTTCTAAGTGGGCCACAAAAGAGGAGCACTGGTGGTGAAGCAAGCACCCATCGTGCATTCGTTACGACACAGAAACTCGTGAAAACAACCCCTCAAGCTTTCTGCGGAATCTTCCCCAAGCCCAGTGGAAGTGCGAGAGGAGCAATCTAAGGGCAGTCAGATGTTTTCCATCAGCGAGCTTTGATGTTTGGGCTTTGACACTGTGACTGCCATCGCTGCCAAAAACTCCTAGTCACACCAGCTTTTCCCTGACCTCCAGCACTGAAGTTCCAAGGAATAAGTTCTGCTGTCACTACGAGGCTTCTCCCACCACCATCGACAACGCTCCCCACGGACTCTTAGGGACCAACCTCAGGTACTCCAGTCACCTCACTTCTCTGTACCTCAGCTGCTATCTTTTCCACCAGCTAGCTGCACTATACAATCTGCGGTCTAGGACGGTGATGAGTTGGCCTTTATAAACACACACCCATGCGTGCTTGAATAAGCTGTCGATTCCATACGCTAGGTGCGTCACCTCCAATTTTCGCCGCCACAGCATCATATCAAGCGACAGCCCTAAAAGGCCGTTTCTCCGTCCGATGTCAGCAATTGGGCACCACACAATGCACGAATCATTACATGCCATTCTAAGGCTGGATCGTTGGATCTCGTTTCGGAAGTTTCATTTCAATCGCGATCAGCATCGCGATTCCGCCACGGAACCCAGCATGGGAGATCGAACGGGTCCAAATAGTGCCATGGGGGTTACAGGCTGTACAAAACCGTGTGGTAATCTGTAGTGGGGCTACGCCATGGAGGGTGCGGACGGAGACGTGCAATACGGAAACATGCGGAAGATGGTACCCTGCCAACCATGCGCCGCGCTTAGGCTTTTTCCTGAGCATCTTCTGCTACCGCCATGGTCCTCGAGCTGGAAAGCTTCGACCGCCACATCGGGAAAACCTATCCTCGCCCGCCTCTGTCACCGCCCTCACGCGGTATTCCGTCGCCCACTCGTAGGGGTAATCCAAGAGCACGAGAGGGTACTAGTGAGCACGATCTCCCCACACGAAACTGTCTTGTAGTATTTATTTGGTCTTATTCTTCATATCAAGCTCCACCGTCCTGCATCGGTATTCTCCTTTCCCACCACACCTCGTTCACCCTCGTGTGGCCGCACGGGCCAGACTAAATTGCTCTCGCGATCGCACACCCCTCGAGCGTGAAACTTTCTTTCCTCCACCACCGCCAAATCCGAATCGCGTTGAAAGCGAGGCGCGCTCCCTCCACTTTCGAAAAAACTTCAAAGGTTTTTATCGGCGGCGATGGCTAGTACCCAGCTGAGTCAGAAAGCGGAGTCGCGAGATGGAGGCTCGCAGGATTTCCCCGTAGCGGATTCGCCTCCTATCCTGCGATTCGCGCCTTCCTCGCAACCATGGACGACGGAGGTACGTAGTCCTCAATTTTACGTGCTATGTCGGTACGAACTTCAACTTTAAGGCGCATCGCCGTCGCCGCTTCAAGGTGTTACAAAAATGCCACCCCGGCATTCCTATCAAGCACAATGCAGCCTGCTGCTGTCGTTTTTTCTGCCTCGGTTTGCTTACACCCTGTCCACAATTTGTCCCTTACGTGTCGCGAGTCGCCTCTGTCGCTCACCCATGTCGCTCACCGTCTGTCGTTTACTCCCTTTCCCTTATTCTAGATCGCTTACCCTCTGTCACTTATCCCTTTTTCCTTATCTCTTACCTCGATCGCCTGTCCCCCATTGCCCCCTCCCGGCCCGGCAGGAGGACGCGGTGCTGCTGCGGCACGCGCTGAGGCACGGCACGCGGCAGTGGGGGCGGCTGGTGCGAGGCAAGCAGCTCGCGCGCGGCAACAAGGCGTGCTGCAACCGCTTCCTCTTCCTCAAAAAGTGAGCCGGAGGTGCAAAGCCGTGTTATTATCATGATGTGCTGCAACCGCTTCCTCTTCCTCAAAAAGTGAGCAGCACACGCCAGGCAAAGTCGTGTTATTATCAGGCTCACTGACACGTCATGTCATGTCATGTCATGTCATGTCACACCAAGTCATTTGATGCGCATTCGTGCGACCTGCTTCTGCGCCACACTCGGCCTGATTCAACCGTAACCCTCCCTTCTCTGTGTTTTTCAGGAAGTTTACGCAGAAGCACGCTGACGTCACGCACCCAGCTCAGCAACTGTTCCAGCAAGGCCCGACCGTTTCCCCGTCTTCCAGACAGCCACATCGGCACATGTGGAGCCGTCCTGACGTGGCATTGCAATATGGCGGGCTGTCATTGGTCGAGTGCATGCAGCTGTTCCTCCCCCCTGGTCTCCGAGACACCCCGGAAGCATCTGATGGTTCACCTGACCATATCCCTGCTGCTGTTGCTACTACTGCTGACAGAGAGCCTGCAGCAGCAGCAGCAGCAGCAGCAGCAGCAGCAGCAGCAGCAGCAGCAGCAGCAGCAGCAGCAGCAGGAGCACAGCAGAGCACGGCAGCAGTGGCAGCTCACCAGCTGGCCCACATTCTCTACCCCGACTCACATGCCACTAATGATCGTACCATGGATTCAATCCACGCACACCCCATGGATCGGGGGATGAAGAGGCTTCGCAATGACGATGACACGGGATTCAGCCCTGGCGCCGCTCACACCAACACTTGTGAAGGCCTGTCGACCTTGGCTGTGCGCTCACTGCTTCTGCGGGCCGCTGACAGCCAGGCCTGCCAGCGTCAGTGCGAGAGCAGGTGAGGCTGTGGCTCTTGGTCTTGAGGGTTCCTTGCTTGCGCGATGCGCGATGCTTTTCGTGGTGATCGCTCTGGTTCTCATGCGTTCTTCCCCATTGGTTCTCCTCTGCTCTTCTCTGCTCAGGTCGACAATCCCGACATCCTGGCTTCTGGCTGCTCTCCTGCAGCAAAAACAACTGCTGCTGCAGCAGCAACAAGAGCAACAGGAGCAGCGGCAAGAACAGTTGCCATCGCTGTTCACACAGGAGTCACTCAATTCCAAGGCAGCCCAATCTTTCCAGTCCCTGCAAGGTCGCTCACTCCCATCTGCCACCCGCAGCATCAACACACCCTCCTCGGGCTCTCTCCCCGCCCTTGACTGGCCTCTATCCTTCTCAACCTCCCTCTCATCCTCCTTCGCATCCTCCCTTGCACCCGCCCTCTCACCCTCCTTCACACCCTCTTTTTCGCCCTCCCTCGCACCCTCCCTCTCACCTACCCTCGCGACCACCTCTCGGCCCTACCTAGCCCGACCGCTCGCATCCGCGTCTCAATGGCGGGCCACCACTCGCACGCCGTTCACCTTCGGCCTGATGCAAAGCTCCCGCATTCTGCAATCCCTCCCTCCTGACAGCCTTCTGCCGTCCGTCCGCTCGACCGTCCCTCCTCCTAACGCTCAAACCATCGTTTCCCCCACGGCTCCTCCTCACAACCTGCTCACGTCCCCTCCCTCTTCGATACCCTCTCGTTCCTCTCACTGCCTGTCTGCTGCTCCCTTCACACCCACGTCTTTGATAACATCCACAAATCAGACCCTCCCACCATCATCAACCGTGGCCCACTGTACTCTCTCCCCTCCTTCCCCTCCTTCCCCTCACTCTCCGCACTCCAGTCAGCCCTCCACAATCCGCCGTCCAAAGCACCTCCCACACTCTCCGACCCATCACATCATTACCCTTCTCAGCACAACCTGTCTCAGCGCAGCCTGTCTCAGCACCACCTGTCTCAGCGCTACCCTTCCCGCAGTGCCTCCCCAAGCAACGCTGCTTCCTCCGCTTCTGTTGACCTCTCCCCGCCCTCCTCCCATACCTCCTCACAACCCTCCTCCCAGCACGTCTTTCAATCCACCTCCCAACCCTCGTCCCACCTATCCTCCCAGCGCACCGCTGTGCCAGTGGAATCACTGGAGAGGCCGCACAAGATGCCTCGGACGAGCCGAGGCGTGTTGCCCCCCGCTGCTCTGGAATTCGCCCGTTCCTTTTTTCCCGGGCTGCCCGCCAAGGATGATCCCCAGGGAGGCGAGAGCAGCGACGGGCAGCAAGCGTCGAACCACACGTGCACTAATGCGAGGGGATGCTTGCTTAGCGCAACGGAAAGCCTGACTGGTGCTAGGGAAAGCCTGACTAGTGGGGGGCAGGAACGTGGAGGGAATGAAGCAACAGAGCTGCCTCAGATGGCTTGCCAACCTTCACTTCCTGACATGGTTACTGCTGCAGCTGCTGGTGCTCCTGGTGTAACGGTTGCGCCTGCTGAGACTGGCACTCAAGATGTGACTGAATCCCCTGCAGCAGCGGCTCTTGCTGCAGCAGCAGAAGGCATATGTCAGGGGGAGCTTTCGATATGGAATGATCTGATAGAGCTGGAGGGCGAGGTGGAGGGGGTGGTGTGCGGTGTGGAGAAGAGAGCAGGGATTACAGTGGGCTCTTTCTGTGAGCTGGAGGATCTCTTTGAGGAGAACAGTAAACTATTGTAGGCGTGTATGAGATTGCATGAAAGGGAGTCAACCTGAGTATAATCTAGGCTTTCTGGTCGAGAGATCATTGTGCCTGTACTAGGGGAGTACTTTTTATGTTGGCATATTTCTGTGCCAATGTGTATCCAGTCGTCTGATTAGGTTAGTGAAGAGCCTGGTTAGCAGTGAAGTGTGGATTGTAATCTTCTGGATAAAATACCTAATTGCACCAACTTAGAAGGTACTTGTTTGTTTTGTTCAGGAGATTCTCGTAACGGTTACGCAAAGTACTTGTGTAGACCCTGTAACGATGGAACGGGGTTTCGCCTGCCCTCGCCCTCATCGCCACGGGCAAAAACGTGACACAGTGAATCCTCCAGTAGCACGGTCAGAGGGACAACATGGGTTGTTGTAACTAGCTTTCGCAGGGGTACTACTAGCGACCCTGCGCTTTCAAGGGGACTACAGTGCTATATGCGGGCACTTTCCGCCACTCCGCCACTCCGACAGGAACATTATGGCAACAACACAGAACTCGGTCCCACATTCACCCACGTGTCACAAATTTCGCAAGCCACTGGAAAAAATATCCCTTTACCTGACCGAAAAAAACTAGAACCCAATCGGGAAGGGATGCGTCTCGGGGAGGCATCAACCCTAAAAAAATTGTGGGTTCCCGTGTTTAGGGTTGATCCCTCCCGAAGATGAGTCCAGGTTCCCTATGGGTTTTATTTTTTTTGCCGTGCGTTTTCTAACTTACCAAATTTGTGACACGTGGGTGAATGTGGGACCGAGTTCTGTGTTGTTCCAGGGGGCTCGCACACCGCTGTGACTGCCTGCTGTGCGTCATCCCACCGCCCTCCCTCCCCGCACCACGTTGCCATAGCACCAGACGAGATGGGAAGGAGAGCAAGAAAACAGAGCAGGGGAAAGGGACCCAAGTAGTCAGTAGAAGCATGAAAGTAGTGAAATGCATGCAAGGAGGCAGAGATAACAAGAATGATGAGTGGAGGAAACGAAAACTGAAGATAAAAAGCACGTGAAAGGGGAGGCGATGGTAGCACACAGCACTAGGGCGCCGAGGAAGCAGGCAAATAAGGAAGGGACGCAGCATGTGTATGAATGCATTCTATTCTAACCCCCTACGACTCTAGTATGAGCTCAAGCCGCCCCAGTGCCATGCGCTACCATCGCCAAAACGCCGCTCATCTCTCACTCAACTTTTAATCGCTCCCATTCGAAAATGGGCTCATTTGTTTTGAGCACGCGTTGACGGAAGAAGGGGGTAAAAAAGTGGGCAATGATAAACAAGAAAGCAGGTAAGGATGGGAAGAACGAAGGGAGAGGGAACTTAGCCGTATGGGGGTGCTTGCAGGACAGTGGCGTCAGGCTTCCAGGAGGCTCGCACACCGCTGTGACTGCCTGCCGTGCGTCATCCCACCGCCCTCCCTCCCCGCACCACGCTGCCATAGCACCGGACGAGATGGGAGGGAAAGCAAGAAAACAGAGAAGGGGAAAGGGACCCAAGTAGTCAGTAGAAGCATGAAAGTAGTGAAATGCATGCAAGGAGGCAGAGATAACAAGAATGATGAGTAGAGGAAACGAAAACTGAAGATAAAAAGCACGTGAAAGGGGAGGCGATGGTAGCACACAGCACTAGGGCGCCGAGCTAGCAGGCAAATAAGGAAGGGGCGCAGCATGTGTATGAATGCATTCTATTCTAACCCCCTACGACTCTAGTATGAGCTCAAGCCGCCCCAGTGCCATGCGCTACCATCGCCAAAACGCCGCTCATCTCTCACTCAACTTTTGATCGCTCCCATTCGAAAATGGGCTCATTTGTTTTGAGCACGCGGTGACGGAAGAATGCGGTACAAAAGTGGGCAATGATAAACACGAAGCAGAAGCGGGTAAGGATGGCAAGGGCGAAGGGAGAGGGAACTTAGCCGTATGGGGGTGCTTGCAGGACAGTGGCGTCAGGCTTCCAGGAGGCTCGAACATCGCTGTGACTGCCTGCCGTGCGTCATCCCACCGCCCTCCCTCCCCGCACCACGCTGCCATAGCACCGGACGAGATGGGAAGGAGAGAAAGAAAACAGAGAAGGGGAAAGGGACCCAAGTAGTCAGTAGAAGCATGAAAGTAGTGAAATGCATGCAAGGAGGCAGAGATAACAAGAATGATGAGTAGAGGAAACGAAAACTGAAGATTAAAAGCACGTGAAAGGGGAGGCGATCGTAGCACACAGCACCAGGGCGCCGAGCTAGCAGGCAAGTAAGGAAGGGACGCAGCATGTGTATGAATGCATTCTATTCTAACCCCCTACGACTCTAGTATGAGCTCAAGCCGCCCCAGTGCCATGCGCTACCATCGCCAAAACGCCGCTCATCTCTCACTCAACTTTTAATCGCTCCCATTCGAAAATGGGCTCATTTGTTTTGAGCACGCGTTGACGGAAGAAGGGGGTACTAAAGTGGGCAATGATAAACAAGAAAGCGGGTAAGGATGGGAAGGGCGAAGGGAGAGGGAACTTAGCCGTATGGGGGTGCTTGCAGGACAGTGGCGTCAGGCTTCCAGGAGGCTCGCACACCGCTGTGACTGCCTGCCGTGCGTCATCCCACCGCCCTCCCTCCCCGCACCACGCTGCCATAGCACCGGACGAGATGGGAGGGAGAGCAAGAAAACAGAGAAGGGGAAAGGGACCCAAGTAGTCAGTAGAAGCATGAAAGCAGTGAAATGCATGCAAGGAGGCAGAGATAACAAGAATGATGAGTAGAGGAAACGAAAACTGAAGATAAAAAGCACGTGAAAGGGGAGGCGATGGTAGCACACAGCACTAGGGCGCCGAGCTAGCAGGCAAATAAGGAAGGGACGCAGCATGTGTATGAATGCATTCTATTCTAACCCCCTACGACTCTAGTATGAGCTCAAGCCGCCCCAGTGCCATGCGCTACCATCGCCAAAACGCCGCTCATCTCTCACTCAACTTTGATCGCTCCCATTCGAAAATGGGCTCATTTGTTTTGAGCACGCGTTGACGGAAGAATGCGGTACAAAAGTGGGCAATGATAATCACGAAGCAGAAGCGGGTAAGGATGGCAAGGGCGAAGGGAGAGGGAACTTAGCCGTATGGGGGTGCTTGCAGGACAGTGGCGTCAGGCTTCCAGGAGGCTCGCACACCGCTGTGACTGCCTGCCGTGCGTCATCCCACCGCCCTCCCTCCCCGCACCACGCTGCCATAGCACCGGACGAGATGGGAAGGAGAGCAAGAAAACAGAGAAGGGGAAAGGGACCCAAGTAGTCAGTAGAAGCATGAAAGTAGTGAAATGCATGCAAGGAGGCAGAGATAACAAGAATGATGAGTAGAGGAAACGAAAACTGAAGATAAAAAGCACGTGAAAGGGGAGGCGATGGTAGCACACAGCACTAGGGCGCCGAGCTAGCAGGCAAATAAGGAAGGGACGCAGCATGTGTATGAATGCATTCTATTCTAACCCCCTACGACTCTAGTATGAGCTCAAGCCGCCCCAGTGCCATGCGCTACCATCGCCAAACGCCGCTCATCTCTCACTCAACTTTTAATCGCTCCCATTCGAAAATGGGCTCATTTGTTTTGAGCACGCGGTGATGGAAGAATGCGGTACAAAATTGGAAAATGATAATCACGAAGCAGAAGCGGGTAAGGATGGCAAGGGCGAAGGGAGAGGGAACTTAGCCGTATGGGGGTGCTTGCAGGACAGTGGCGTCAGGCTTCCAGGAGGCTCGCACACCGCTGTGACTGCCTGCCGTGCGTCATCCCACCGCCCTCCCTCCCCGCACCGCGCTGCCATAGCACCGGACGAGATGGGAAGGAGAGAAAGAAAACAGAGAAGGGGAAAGGGACCCAAGTAGTCAGTAGAAGCATGAAAGTAGTGAAATGCATGCAAGGAGGCAGAGATAACAAGAATGATGAGTAGAGGAAACGAAAACTGAAGATAAAAAGCACGTGAAAGGGGAGGCGATGGTAGCACACAGCACTAGGGCGCCGAGCTAGCAGGCAAGTAAGGAAGGGACGCAGCATGTGTATGAATGCATTCTATTCTAACCCCCTACGACTCTAGTATGAGCTCAAGCCGCCCCAGTGCCATGCGCTACCATCGCCAAACGCCGCTCATCTCTCACTCAACTTTTGATCGCTCCCATTTGAAAATGGGCTCATTTGTTTTGAGCACGCGGTGATGGAAGAATGCGGTACAAAAGTGGGCAATGATAAACACGAAGCAGAAGCGGGTAAGGATGGCAAGGGCGAAGGGAGAGGGAACTTAGCCGTATGGGGGTGCTTGCAGGACAGTGGCGTCAGGCTTCCAGAAGGCTCGCACACCGCTGTGACTGCCTGCGGTGCGTCATCCCACCGCCCTCCCTCCCCGCACCACGCTGCCATAGCACCAGACGAGAGGGGTGGAGCAAAGCAGAGCAAGAGGAGCGAGTGGGGGAAAGGAAGCCAAGTAGCCAGTAGAATCAAGAAACCAGTGAGCAAATGACCAACGAAAACAGGAGCAAGAAAGCAGTGAGCAAGAATGCATGCAATGAGGCAGAGATAACAAGAGCAAATGACCAACGAGAACAGAATTCAAAACGCTGTGAAAAGGGAGGCGATGGTAGCACACAGCACAAGGGCAGCGAGCTAGCAGGCAAGGGGGACGAGGTAAGGAAGGGACGCGGGCATGAGTATGAATGCAGTCTACTCTACCCTCCTAGGACTCTAGTATGAGCTCAAGCCGCCCCAGTGCCATGCGCTACCATCGCCATGCGGAATTTTGGTTGAGAAAACAAACCAAACATAGAAAGCGATAAGGATGGCAAGGGAGCGAGTAAGGGGGTGAAGAGGGGACTTAGCGGTATGAGGGGTTGCTGAGCGACGGCCCGTCGTTCCAAGATGCAATTGGATGCATCGCCGTCGCCGTCGCCTTCGCATCGAGCGTCGAATTTGCCTTTCACCACCATCGATCGTCAGCATTGACGATCGTCACCACCATCGATCGTCAGCATTGACGATCGTCACCACCATCGATCGTCAGCATCAACGAACACGTCGCAGTCGTCGTCAGCCTTCCACCATTCTGCCTTTATCGTCGACATCTCAGTCGGCCACGTGAGATCTCGCGAAGTGGCCTCGTCACCGTCAGAACTTGCAGTCAGCACGAATCGACAGCGCGAATCGACAATCGTCGTCGCCGTCAAACGTAAGATCTCGCGATCTCAACATCAGAAGACGCCGTTCTAATCGCGCGATCCTCAAGACTCGCCATCGCAGTCATGAACAAGATTTCGCGTCTCGATCGTCATCCAGTCGGCAACGTGAGCTTGCGTCTCGCTGATGTTCAATCGTACCTATTACAAAGGCTTGAATCGTCACCGTCCCGAAACTCCGCACGCGCATGATATCGTCGCCATCAGAACTCCGCACGCGCATGATATCGTCGCCATCAGAACTCCGCACGCGCATGATATCGTCGCCATCAGAACTCCGCACGCGCATGATATCGTCGCCATCAGAACTCCGCATCGGAATCGCCCTGGTCACCAACTCCATCAGATTTCTCCATCTCGGTTTCGCATTCGCCGTCAACACAGATGCCGTCCTCAGCGTGAAACCTCCCCGTCACCGTTGGAAGACCGTCACCGTCGAATCTCCATGATACTCGGCACCAAGATCAGAAGACGCCAACCGTCACCCTCAGAACTCCCAGAAGTACCACTTCCCACCATCACAAGACGTTGATTCGTCACCGTCAGAGCTCCTCGTCGGAATATTCACCGTCAGAAATGTCTCGATTGTCGCCGTCATCAATCTCTATCGTCGTCGACAGAACTCGCCGTCCAAAGAAACCGTCTCGTATCACCGGTTCCGATGAAAGAAATTCTCGTCTTGTCGCCGCCGTGCACGGCGTCAGTCTGAAACAGCGGTATAGCCGTTGCCAAGTGAACCATGCTTGAAGGAGCTGAAGAAGATATGAGAGGCTTCACGAAGAACTGGATTCACCTCGCGAAACTTCACGTCACGAACCGCATCCGACAGCCTTCTACAGAAATTTCTCAATGTTACTAGGATCACCATGGTGCTTCGGAAAACGACCTGATGCTAGTTCTTTGTGACGAACGCCTAAACGAACGTAGTAGCACTATATCATAAACAAATACGATTATGACTATGATTGCGATAACGGTAGACGACAGGTACGTACTAGCTTACGAAACGAGCCGAGCCGTGAGAATCCAAGGATACGCTAGACCATGAAACTCCAACAGAGGTGCTCTGAATGGCTAAAGAAACCACAAGAGATACTAAACCTCACCTGAGTTTAAGATTAATATAAATACCTAGTTAATGGTTGGTAATGGAACTTCAGGCGACAGCCATGGATTCTAAGCATCCGAACAAGACTAATCCGAGCGAGAACGTAGAAGGAATGACGTTCAGGCAGTGGTTAGAGAAGTTCAGTGAAGCAGTTCAGGGAATGAAGAGAGATTCAGAGCGGTTTTCAGGGATTCACTGAAGCGAGAGGTGAGATGAATGGTTGAAGCAGCACCAAGCTCAGGGCGGGTCCAGCGCGTACGTTTACAGTTCATCCTGTGCGGTTGACCTTGTTGCGTCACGGTTAAAAATGGTGGAAACTGCAAATCGCTTTGAACCATTTGATATCGTGTTGCGCCATGAGTCATGAACTGTAAACGAACCGTAAACGTACGCGCTGGACACGCCCTCAAGGTCCGGCATCCGCTCCGCTCCCCTTTCCCTGCTGTGGTGCAGGCCGCCGTACCGTCGGCGGACAGCCGTGAACCAAGAGGCTTTCGCTTGGGGGATGATTGATTAGCGAATTTTTGGACAGGTTTCGTGAGCATAGTTACAGCATCTCCGCAGCGCGGGTTTATCATGGTTCCGCCTGTTTGCGCGGGAAACAGTTCCACATGTCTGACAGACGCTCATGGCTGTTCCGTGCAAGGCGAGTTGGGTGATCGAACATATCGAGTTAGTGCAATACGTCTACTCGAATATGTAAGTTTTTAGAAACTACGAAACACTTGAAAGTAGATGTATATCATGAAGACTAAAATAACAAGGGGCAGAGGCTGCTTGTAATGGCAATGTAGAAGTGCTATACACTTTTCGCTAAAATAACAGGGGGCAGAAGCCATTTGGCCTCCACCAACGTTTTAGCTTGAAATTTCAAATGTTTTATTTCCTGCCCACCCACCCTAACAAAATCCATGTCGTAATACAAATACCGGTACCGGTACGGTACTACGTAGTTGGACGAGAATGTTGTACGGTACGAATGTGGCACACGGGTGTGCAGTCACATGCGCCACCACCTGAGACAAGTTTCGAAACCACGCCTCGCCCCACTTTGCCTCTCTCTCTCAGTCGAACCTGCCGGCGGGTATACCCTGTAGATTTTCAAAGCCCATGCCTTCTCATCTCATCTAATCTCATCTGAGCGTCTCTGCACCGGCCCTCCCTCAAACGAAGATCACTTCTAGCCGGGCACACGGGTGTGCAGTCACATGCGCCACCACCTGAGACGAGTTTCGAAACCACGCCTCACCCCACAGCGCCTCCCGCTGTGTCGACCCCGCCGGATATATCCTATAGATCTTCAAAGCCCAGGCTTTCTCACCCCCTCCGAGCGACGCCGGCCGCTTCCCCACCCACACCGGCCGGTACGTCTTTTTCTGAAAGCTGCGCCTTATAGCTAACGTGAGTCCTCTTATAGTGAGGTGGTCACTGCGCAGGAACACTGAGGTGAAGTGGAACGTCCCCCGTTCCCTCACATACAGGTGGTATACCACCAGCTTCTCCCCCTCGCGCTTACCCGGCGCCTCGCACCGGCACGGGCGGCGGGTTTTGGCAGCATCCAGGTCCTTTCTCCGGATCCGGTCGGCGAGGAAGATACAGAGGCGGCAAGAGGAGTGAACAGCTGAGAGATCCATGTTTGCAATAAACGCCTGGGAAGGCCCGTTTTTTTTCCACGTCAGCATCTCATCATACGCCGTCTGGTTACCAGCGAGTGTAACCATCTGCTGCGCCACCCGCGGCACATCCTCCAGGGATTTGATTTCGAGATAGGAGTTCGGAGAAGGGGCGAAATCGGCAATGTTGGGGGCGCCGATGACGACGGGGATAGAGCCGGCTACGAGGCACTGCCAGTACTTCTCGGTGACGTAGTCGGCCTCGCAGGTGTTTTCGAATGCGAGGGAGAAATGGTGCTGTGCCAGCACGAGGAGTTTGTCGGTTTCGTATGGCATGTTGTTGAGACAGCGCCCGTATGAGTGAACCTCCATGTGTTGACTCAGCTCTTTTATAGCCTGGGATAAGGGGAGGAAACAGGGAGGAGAGGAGAGTTGGGGGCTGTGAGGCACTGCCAGTACTTCTCGGTGACGTAGTCGGCCTCACAGGTGTTCTCGAAGGCGAGGGAGAAGAAGTGCTGGGCCAGTATGGGGAGTTTGTCTGTTTCATACGGCATGTTGTTGAGACAGCGCCCGTAGGAATGCACCTCCATGTGCCGACTCAACTCCTTCAGAGCCTGGAATAAGGGGAGGAGACAGGGAGGAGAGGAGAGTTGGGGCGGGGGGGAGTGAGAGTACATTTTTAGTCGACTCAAAAGTCAGCCGGCTGTGAGGCACTGCCAGTACTTCTCGGTGACGTAGTCGGCTTCGCAGGTGTTTTCGAATGCGAGAGAGAAGAAGTGCTGGGCCAGCACGGGCAGCTTGTCGGTTTCATATGGCATGTTGTTGAGAGAGCGGCCGTACGAATGCACCTCCATGTGCCGACTCAACTCCTTTACTGCCTGGTGATGGGATTGACATGGGGAGAGAAGGGAAGAAAAGGCATGGGACATGAGATGCGGCAGAGAAGGCGGGGCATGTTGTTGAGACAGCGGCCGTAGGAATGCACCTCCATGTGCCGACTCAACTCCTTTACAGCCTGGTGATGAGAAAATACAGAAGAAGAGAGGGAGGGAGTGGGGTGCGGGGAGGAGCTGTGAGGCACTGCCAGCGGATTCTGGTGTGGCAGCTTGCTGGGTTCAGAATGCTCCCACGTGGCATGTTGTTCAAGCAGAGAGGCCGTACGAGTGCACCTGCAGGTGCCGACTCAACTCCTTTACAGTTTTGAGACGTCTCAAAACTGCACTTTTATCAGGTTGTTCAAGCAGAGAGGGCGTACGAGTGCACCTGCAGGTGCCGACTCAACTCCTTTACAGCCTGGCCATGGGATTGGTTTGGAAGAGAAGTGAGAAGAAGGGAAGAGAAGGGACGAGAAGGCATGGAACGGAAGAGGATGGGATTGTTGAGGCAGCGACCATACGAGTGCACCTCCATGTGCTTACTCAACTCCGTCACTGCCTGGTGATGCGATTGGCACGGGAAGAGAAGGTGGTGGAGAGTGGCTACGAATGGTGGAGAGTGGTGGAGAGGAGTAGAGTGGCGGGGAGTGGGGTGGAGTGGGATGGACAGGGGTGTATGGGATACCTCGAGTCTGAAGCTGTTGGCGTGGCAGTTGCTGATAAAGGCAGCAGCTAGAGCAGAAGAGAGGGGTGGTGAGTGGTGAAGAGGGGTAGAGTGGCATCTCACCTCGAGTCTGAAGCTGTTGGCGTGGCAGTTGCTGATGAAGGCAGCAGCAAGAGCCGATGCTGTCTTGTTGACAGGCTGGCGCATGACATCATACTCCTCCCATGAGCCGTACTGCACTGGCACGTCTGAGTCATAGTGCACTGTCATCACCACCTGGAGGGGTTGGGTTTGTGGTTGGAAGCAGGCACATGTGCCGAGAGACAAGTTGGAGGAGGGGGGGAAAGGGGGCAGTCCTGTTGACAGGCGGGCGCATGACATCATACTCCTCCCACGACCCGTACTGCACTGGCACGTCTGAGTCATAGTGCACTGTCATCACCACCTGGAGAGGGAGTGAGTGAGTGAATGAGGGAGAGAGGGAGTGAGTAAACATGCAGGGAGGGCGCATGACATCATACTCCTCCCAGGACCCGTACTGCACTGGCATGTCTGCGTCATAGTGCACTGTCATCACCACCTGGATGTAGTATAGCGAGTGAGTGAATGAGGGAGAGAGGGCGCAAGCAGGGCGCATGACATCATACTCCTCCCACGAGTCATAATGCACTGTCATCACCACCACCCAGCTCACTGCCTCCCCACCCACCACACACACCCCTTACACCCACCCCCTGCTCCCTCACACTCACTGCATTTTCCCTGTTCGCCCGCCCCACCACACTCAACACACCCATCCCTCACTCTCACTCACAGCAGGGTCACTGTGCGCCCATGCAGGGTTGTTGCCGGCATAGTAACCCCCGTGACTCCATGGATCAGAGCACTGCCTTGCCTTGCACCCTAGGGCAGAGGATACCAATCGTCCAAGCTATCAGCATTCTCACCCCACCACACCGCACCACACTCCCCCACCCCTCTCACTCACAGCATGATCCTTGTGCGCCCATGCAGGGTCATTGCTTGCATAGTACCCCCGGGGCTCCATGGATCGCAGCACCGCTGCTTCCTTGCGTATGAGATCCCCACTGCACCCCACAGTACCCCACTGCACCTTACTCAAACCTCCCACTCACAGCATGATCCTTGTGCGCCCATGCAGGGTTGTTGCTCGCATAGTACCCCCGCGGCTCCATGGATCGCAGCACCACCTTGTGCCGAGGCACGCCGCCCGCCAGGCTGGCGTCCAGCTCTGCCGGGCAGCGCTTCCCGACCATCTCACACGGCACGTCGCACGGGTACCTGCGGGGGGTCTGAGAAAGGGGAGGGGAGGAGGGGGAGGAGGGATGAGGACGGGGGGGAAGGAGGGGGGGGGGGGTGAGGGGAGGACCAGGGGGGAAAGGGCGGGGAATAGTGTTTCTGACGAGCTCGTATGGCACACTGCACAGGTACCTGCACGGATGGTATCATGGTATTATGGTATCACGTTATTGTGGTATCATGGTATCATGGTATCACGGTATCATGCTGTCATGCCATCATGATATCATGCTATGATGCAATCATGCTATCATGCTATCATGCAATCATGCTATCATGCTATCATGCAATCATGCTATCATGCTATCATGCTATCATGCTATCATGCAATCATGCAATCATGCTATCATGCTGTCATGCCATCATCCTATCATGCCATCATGCCATCATGCCATCGTGCCATCGTGCCATCGTGCCATCGTGCCATCGTGCCATCGTGCCATCGTGCCATCGTGCCATCGTGCCATCGTGCCATCGTGCCATCGTGCCATCGTGCCATCATGCCATCATGCCATCCTGCCATCATGCCATCATGCCATCAAGCCATCATGCCATCATGCCATCATGCCATCATGCCATCATGCCATCATGCAATCATGCAATCAAGCCATCATGCCATCATGCCATCATGCCATCATGCCATCATGCCATCATGCCATCATGCCATCATGCTATCATGCCATCATGCTATCATGCCATCATGCTATCATGCCATCATGCCATCATGCCATCATGCTATCATGCCATCATGCTATCATGCCATCATGCTATCATGCCATCATGCCATCATGCCATCATGCCATCATGCCATCATGCCATCATGCTATCATGCCATAATGCCATCATGCTATCATGCCATCATGCCATCATGCCATCATGCCATCATGCCATCATGCTATCATGCCATCATGCCATCATGCTATCATGCCATCATGCTATCATGCCATCATGCCATCATGCCATCATGCCATCATGCCATCATGCCATCATGCTATCATGCTATCATGCCATAATGCCATCATGCTATCATGCCATCATGCCATCATGCTATCATGCCATCATGCCATCATGCCATCATGCTATCATGCCATCATGCCATCATGCTATCATGCCATCATGCTATCATGCTATCATGGTATAGAATGAGACCAACCACTTCCAGTCTCCATGGGTGGACGCACCTCGTATGCCATCACTGCGATTGGCTGCTTCTCAAAGTCCCTCCCAAACGCCACGTCATCAGCCTCCTGCAGCCACGAGCGACACGTCAGCCCGTCAGGAGCGCCCTGGAGTGGGGACCACTCCGATGGCTCGTCCAATGGGGACTGCCAAACCGGCTCCCCCTCCCCTTCCCCCTCCTCCTCGTTCGCTTCCCCTCTCTCTCCCCCCCTGCCGCTCCCTCTGCCCTCACCTTCCCCCGCTCCCCGTTCCGCCATCCCCCCCTCGTCCATCCCCATGTCGTCTCCGCTCCCCGTGAAGGACGTGTTTTCTCCCCCGCCTTCCCCTCCGCCCTCCCCGCCGCCCTCCCCGTCAGCCCTCCCCACGCCAGGCTTGTCCTCCCCCCTCCCCCTGACGTCGTCCGCCTCCCCCCCTCTCCCCCTGTCGTCATCCTCCCTCCCCCTCCCCTGATCGTCACCCGTCCCCCTACTCCGCCACGTGGCCTCATCTACGATCACCTCCTGGCCGCTCTGCATCCCGTCCACCATCCAATCATCGTCGCCGCTTCTCAGCTCCATGTTCTTCCGCTCCCCCTCCTCCCCTCCGCCTCCCCCGCCTCCCCTGCCTCCCCCGCTCTCCTCATCTACTATAAGAGGTCGAGTCGACTGCGTCCCATCTACCATCCAATCATCATCGCCGCTCCGAAATTCCACGCCCTTCCGCTCCGCCTCCTCCCCCCCGCCTCCCCCCCCTCCCCCGCCCGCTGCGCTCTCCTCATCCACTATCAGGGGCCGAGTCGATTTAGTCCCGTCCACCATCCAATCATCATCGCCACTCCTAAACTCCACGCCTTTCCTAGCCTCTTCGCGCGGCTCCGAGTCGTCCTGTGCGTCGATGCCGCCGCCGGCGAATTTCCGAACCCACTTGCGCTCGTGGCCCCCGTACCCGGCGGCGTCATGCGAAGCGTCGTAGGTCCGCGGTCCGCCGAGGTGAATCGAATCCGCGTCGGCCTCCCGCTGCGCGCTTCCCCCGCCGCTCGCGCTGAACAGCTTCGTCAAATCGTGGCCGTTTGATTGGCCCTTGGCAGCCGTCGATGCGCTCTGCCGCTGCGCGTCAGATCGCGGAGAGAATTTGAGCTTCAGAATATAAAGACCTTGTGCGACGACGAGTAGCAGTAGCAAGCGGCCGCACAGCTGGCCGCTGCCGCCGCCTCGCCCTGGCGCGCCTCGGTGGTGCGACAGTGCGGATGAGCCTCTGTGCGCCTGTGCGACGGCACGATGGTGCTGCGACGACGGGCGATTGGATCGCGACATGTATGCGACGACAGCGAGCAGCAAGGTGTCACGATTGAGTGGGTAGGCTCATCTTCAGACAGAATCGAGGACATGGCATTTGGAATATTTGGGTTTGGTGGGCAAGGGAGCCGGACAGAATCTAGGAACTGGACCAATATATTTGGTTATACATGAATCTCTCATGATCCTAGACAGAAAGAGGAAAAGAGGGAAAGAAAGACATAAATGAAGGAGAAAGGAAATGGAGAAAGAAAGGGAGAAAGAAAGGGAGAAGGAAAGTAAAACTGCCAAAAAGACCCAAATGCAACACACATAACAACCCCCCTCAAGATACCCAATCGAAATGCCCAGTCAAGACACTCCATCAAGACACCCCATCCCGCACCCCATTTCGCCCCCCCCCCAATCACAACTGTACATCCACCATGTACGGGGCCTCCATCCATCTAGGAATTGGTGGGGGGAGATTTGATGGAAAGCAAATGTGGGAAACCGTTTTCTAGGTTGCCCCTTTTACATGGTTCAGAACAATATTGATTTAGAAAGCTACATGGCAGACGGATAAGTACAGCCAAATAAGTGCAGTCATACCCCTCAACCTAATGCTACCATATTACAAATATCCGAATCAAGCTCTACATACAGAAAGATTGTATTCAACTGGAAGGCATGCATAACTTGTGACAAAAGTAGGCAATCCAGTAGAAACTAAATAAGTGATTGGGTGTTCTAGTGAATCACTAAGAGATTACAAGGTGCTGCCTTGCCTTGACGACTGGGACTGATTCAAGCCATGGGTCATGATGCAGGCAACAGCCATGGTTCATAACACCCTAGCACCAGCCATGGCACTTACACCAAAGCACTACGCCCACCACTCCAGCGGTGACCCAATCCAGAGCAACGCCCCGCTGCCCACCGCAAAGTAATACTCAATCTGCCCGACTTGAAGCAAATCCCAGCTGCCCGACGTGTTGCAAATCCCTGCTGCCCGACTTGGAGCAACCCCCAGCCATTCAAGCTGCAGCCTCCACCTGAACGGACGCCTCGCTCTCACCGCTCTTGGCGCAATCCCTCTCCCCCAGCGCGGCCCTCAGTCTGCTCCGCAGCTCCCCGCTCAGCCTCAGCGATTCCGCCACGCTCTCCGATTGCCACCCTTCCTCGATCTTGCTTGGCGTCGCGCCGGCGGAACCAGCGGACGCCGACTGCGCCACTCTTTCCGCCAGAGTTGCGCGGATTGCGCCCGCGCTGTCTCCGGCGCCCGGCCCTGCGCCTTCTTCGCTGCTGCGCGCGCGAGTCGCGCCTGCCTCTGCGGGCCCCGGCAGCAGCCCCGCGCGCACGAGCAGCGCTTCCTTCGCGGCGTCGGAGAACAGCTTCGCCGCCGCGCCGCTGCGCCGCTCCGCCAGCTCGGCGCGCAGCTGTTGCGCGGGCGTCAGCGCCCTCAGGGAAGTCTGCTGCGCGCCAATGGATGACGTGGAAGAGGGAGATACCCCTTGCCCGACGCACGAGGGGGAATTTTCCGACAGGCTGACGATGCGCGAAGGGGAGGGAGGGCGCGCCGCTTAGGGGGTGCGAAGCGCGGAGGTGGAAGAGGCTGCCCCGGCGCGATGCGCGGAACGACGCACACGGGACAGCCGCGGAACGGAGGAGGGGCTTCCGTCAGTGGTATCCGCGCTGGCGGCGGGCGGGGAAAGCGCGGAGGACCTTTGCGGGGAAGACACGAGCTCAGAGCCAGACCTCTCGTCGCCGACTGGTAGCAGCCCCACGCTTGAGGCCTGCGACGCGGTAGACTCCTTCAGCGGCGATTGTGCGATGGCCGGCGACTGGTTCTGCAACTGCGAGTTGGGCGACAGGAGAGTGAAGCCGTCGAGTCCGGCCTGCTTGAGAAGCGCGTCGCCCGAGATCGCCGCGTCTGCCGGGGGGTTGGAGCGCGACCATGGCAACACCTCGCTGAATAGCCGCTGCCTCGATAACAGATCCTGAATCAACGAGAACGCTCCCGCGGATGACGGGGCGCCGGAAGAGGCGGAGGTGACGGAGGACGCGGAGGACGCGGGCTGCTGATTCTCCGCGTTCGACGGCGAGGTTGGAGCTGGCGCCTTGGAGCCGAAAACCTCGGGAGAAGAAGGGGTGGTGGAGAGGGTGGGCTGCGTGACCGAGTCGTACATCTTGCGGATGGTAGGCGGCTCGTACGCGCGGATACCGCGGCCGCTGATGAGACCCGCGTGCTCTCTGTCCTCCTGCTCGTGCATGTGGTGCAGCTGGAAGGACAGCTGCATGTCCTCCTGCTTCACCTTCTGGAACCGCTCTCGTATTATCGCGATGTCGGCTTTAAATTCCGCGAGTTCCGCCTTTCGTCTGCGACGGTCCGCGTCGCTGACGGTTAGGAGCGTCATTGGTGACGGCCTGGCTTGAAGCGCTTCGACATCCATTAGGAGACGAGATTAGGACGAGAAACTAGGACGATGTCGTAGCTACTGAACTAGGAGTGACGTGACAACAGGACAACTTGGGATAGCATGTCTGGTTCGCCAAGGGCTGGGTTTGACTGGCGCAGAGGAGAGCAGCAGCGGAGTCAGCAGACGAGGTGAGGAAAATGACAGTGACAAGCAGAGACAACATGCGGGAAACGAGGTTCGGTTGGTTTGGGATGGATTTGGTCGGGTGAAGTGGAGTGATGCACTGCAAAACACGAGAGTTGGGGTTGTTGAGATAGGATTGGTGGGGAGGGAATAAGGAGATGGTCGCGAGGGGAGCACGAAGGCGGCGCTGGAGGAACAGCGACTCGAGAGGCTGATGGAGGCGACTCGTGATCCGACGGCGACGTGTTTTGGATGGGTTGACATCGGATGGCACGGATGCGGGAACTGACGGTCAGTAGCGCAGTTGGCGGGAAGGGTGGGAGGAACATTCTATTCGATATGGTGTGCTTCGGCTGAACCGTATCACCTTACCAAATTGTATTTTCAACGTTTTATGAACTTCTGATAATGGTACAGTTTTGTAGCATGGTACAGTCAATACCGAGTACGAATCCATGTTGCAATCTTCGAGGAGGGCGCTACTTGTTGCGCTGCTCTTCAGAATGGGACGGCACATGCGACGAACTTAGACGACAGTCTCTGTGCTGTGCCTCATAGCGTCGCAGGCGCATTCGAGGTCACGAGCCGCCTATGTGACACTCGCTCCTCGTGCCGATTTGGCTTCGAGCGCAGGAGTCTGTAAAAGTATAAATATATTTGTTGTGCTTTCTTTTTTTCTTCGTACGCTACTAGAGTGCTCCGCCCTTCCCTTTCTTCACGTACCACCCCCATTCCCCATGGCGCAAGCGCTGAAGCTCTTCTATGCCGCTCGGCGCGCTGCGTCGCGCGCAGCTGACGCGGGCCCATCACCGCTTTCCGCCCTCCGCAATCCCCCGTCGTCCCCGCTTCTCCCACCCCGCTTTCCTTCCCTTTGCGCGGGCAGCCCTCTCTCGTGCGCGCGCCTGGCCGATCAAGCACTAACCGGCGGAATAATGGAACTTGGCGCTTTGCGCGCGGGGCGTCTCCCCGCGCGTCCCCGTAACCCCCACGCGGGGATTCCCCCCGCTCCAGTCTCGGAGCATGCTTCTAATCGCCTCCGCGCCCCCCTTACCGCCTCCTTCGCCGCCGCGCCAGTCATCTCCACCCCACCATCCACCGCTCCCCGCGCCGTTTCCGCAGTCCGCCACTTTCTCGCCACGCCCGCGCATTCCCCCTCGCCATCCGCTCCCCCACCAGCCGCGGTGCAGCCCCGCGCAGCTGCGGCCACTGGCGGAACGAGAGGGGTTGTGATGGGGATCAGCGGGGCCGCAGGCGGGGGAGGAGTGCGCGTCAGGGGAATGAGCGGGGGTATTGGGGGGAGCGGGGGAAGCGGGGAGAGCATCTATGTGCGATCAACGCGGGAGCCCAGCGGATTGGCATCCGTGCCGCTGGTGCCGCTCGTTCTCGGTCTAGCTGGCGCCATCCCATTTGTCGCCCTCGCGCCACCCATATGCTCTCTCGTTCCCCTCCCTGTCAGTACCCCTCCTCTCCTCCTCTCCACCTCTCCTCTTCACCTTTCCTGCATCCTCTCCCCTCCTCTCCTCCCGTCGCAATCACTCGACTGCCATACATTGCCCTGGCCCCTAGGCCCTTTCCCTTCCAGCCCCCTCCCCCCCACATTCACCCTCCTTTACCTCTCCTTTCCCCTCTCATCCCCTCGCTGCGTCCCCTCCCTCTCAGGAGCTGCTGGCAAGTCGGCCAGCAGCAGCGCAGGCGGCGTACGGGGCAGCTACGGGGCAGCCATCCTCGTATTCCCTAAGCCTTCCTTTTTCTCCCATTCTCCCCCATGCGAGCAGGAGCTGCTGGCAAGTCAGCCGGCAGCAGCGCAGGCAGCGTACGGGGCAACCATCCTCGCCTTCCTAGGCGGACCGCACTGGGGGCTCGCCATGGCCCGATACGCCGCCAGTCAGTGCTGCCGCACCTTGCTTTCCCCCCTCTGCTGCCTGCCCTCCTCCCCCTGCTGCTTCCCTTCTCCCCCCCGCTGTTCCTTGCTGCACAGCCCTGTCGTTCGCTCATTGTCTTCCTTCTCTCTCCACCCTGCCCCCTGCCCTTCTTTCTCTCCTCCCCTGCCTTTAACCGTCTTTTATCTCCTCCCCTTCCTCTCCGCCCTGCCCCATGTGCCGTACACAGCAACATCTGAGGCGAGTCTAGGCAACATCTCAGTCTCAGCTGCACGGTGAGTGGTGTGCGGTGCTGTGCGATTGAGTGAGTGCAGTGCAGTGCAGTGACTGCTGTGCGCGCATTATCATCCATCTAAGCCCTTTTCCTCTCCAGCTCTATTCCTAATCTCAGCCGTCCATCCTTCTCCCCATATCATCCATCACCTCACACCAGGTACACATGGAGTGTGGCGCCATCCCTGGCGGCATGGGTGGCGCTGCTGCTGCCAGACGGACCCAAGTTCGCCCTCCTCCTCTCCTCCTTCCTCCTGGTATGACATCCTTCCCACTCAAGGGCGAAGGGAGATCCGTGCAATCCTCTTATACGTCATCTCCCTTCGCTCTTCTCCCTTCACCCTTCACCCTCCACTCAACCCCCCTTCACCCTGAGGTGTAATCCTCTCTGCTAAGCCCCAATCCATGCCTTCCTCCATATGGCAATCTCCATCTGCCGTCACAAAGTCACAAAGTCACAAAGTCAGAGTATATGAGACGCTTCACCCAAGCATGGCATGACAGTGCAATCTGCATCTGCACATCTGCACATCCCAACTTGTCCCGTTGCGCTCTCTCCTGTGTGTGAGCAGGTGTTGGGTGTGGTGTGGACACAGTCAGGGGCATGATGACCCCATGTGCACATCCCATCTTCTCCCTTTGCTCTCTTTCTCTCCTGTGTGTGAGCAGGTGTTGGGTGTGGTGTGGACACAGTCAGGGGCATGATGACCCCATGTGCACATCCCATCTTCTCCCTTTGCTCTCTTTCTCTCCTGTGTGTGAGCAGGTGTTGGGTGTGGTGTGGACACAGTCAGGGGCATGATGACCCCATGTGCACATCCCATCTTCTCCCTTTGCTCTCTTTCTCTCCTGTGTGTGAGCAGGTGTTGGGTGTGGTGTGGACACAGTCAGGGGCATGATGACCCCATGTGCACATCCCATCTTCTCCCTTTGCTCTCTTTCTCTCCTGTGTGTGAGCAGGTGTTGGGTGTGGTGTGGACACAGTCAGGGGCATGATGACCCCATGTGCACATCCCATCTTCTCCCTTTGCTCTCTTTCTCTCCTGTGTGTGAGCAGGTGTTGGGTGTGGTGTGGACACAGTCAGGGGCATGATGACCCCATGTGCACATCCCATCTTCTCCCTTTGCTCTCTTTCTCTCCTGTGTGTGAGCAGGTGTTGGGTGCGGACACAGTCTTTGCCCGCATGGTAGTGGAATCTGCATTGCCATCTGCAGCACTGCCATGCCATCTGCACATTCCAACTTCTCCCTTTGCTCTCTCTCTCTCGCCTGTGTGTGAGCAGGTGTTGGGCGTCGACACAGTCTTTGCCCGCATGGCATTAGTGCCTACATGGTACGCTCCTTCCTGCCAATCCGCTTCCATGCAACTGCAATCATCCATGCTGCAATCATCCATGCTGCCATCATCCATGCTGCCATCATCCATGCTGCCATCATCCATGCTGCCATCATCCATGCTGCCATCATCCATGCTGCCATTGCAATCATCCATGCTGCCATCATCCATGCTGCCATCATCCATGCTGCCATCATCCATGCTGCCATCATCCATGCTGCCATCATCCATGCTGCCATCATCCATGCTGAATGCTTCCATATGGCCGTCTCTGGCATCCAGCCTAACATGCCATGCCTGTCTCTGTCATCTGCTTCCGCTCTCGATCATCCCCTGCCTGCCACCCCTGCAACCCCTGCAACCCCTGCAACCCCTGTCCCCCTGCCATTCCCACCAGGTATCTGCCTCTCCGAGTGCTGCTCTCTTCCATTGCTCTCCTCAGCCTAGCCGCCACCGCATTCACCGTCGTCACTGGCACTGCCATCGCACGATCATCTCCTCGATCCACTGCCAACTCACAATCAACCCCTCCTGCCGCTCACTCAACTGCCGCGCCCTCGCCCGCTGATCAACAACCCGTTCACTCCTCTCACCCCTCATCCTCTCGACCCTCGTCCTCCCGACCCTCGTCCACCCATCCTTCAACCTTTGAATCCTCTCCCTCAGCAAAGCAGTAACTTGCACCTGTAGTGTGTGGGCGGGATGGGCAGATCTCTCACAGAGTGCAGAAGTAGCATCAAATGATGCATGCACAAGATGCTGCAATCAGCTCATGCTCCTGCCAAAACAGGAAGGTCTAAACAGGAATGTCTTGCACGCAACATCATCCTGTCCTTGTATTCAGCTGCATACTTCTCAATCAGCACAAACACACAAGCATACCGTAAGGTTTGTGTGGTCTCAAATTCATATAAGTGGTCCTGACATCAAGTCATGTTAGTGTGGGGCGAGACAACGAAAACAAATGACAACTTCTAAAAAAAACCCTCGTGCATTGGAATAAGCACTCTATTGGTGCTCATTCCAAACCACACCAAGTCAGACGTCCGCAATACAGCTCGCTTTGTTTTCCAAGAGGCATGTTCACCAAATTCTTAGTTTCAGCTGACTTTAGACTTGGAAGGGGCTTTTCGCTTCCTGGATGCGAGCTTTGCTGCTGAGCTGCGCATTCCGAGGTAAACGAGTAGGGCTCCCACCAGAGAAAGATTCTGCAATGGTGGCACGAGGGAGAGGAAATGCTGCACTGGCGTAAAAATCACACATAGACCTCATGAGTCTGCAGAGGGGGCAAAACAAGAAATGACAGCTTGGCTGCAGAGCTGCCCGTGGCAGGTAAACAGCAGGGCTCGAACCGACATAGGTTCTGCAAAGGGTGATAAACATCCAGATGCAATTTATGGAAGGTGGCAAGATGTCACGCAATTAACGTTTAAATGCTGAAGGATCTGAATAGGTAAAAAAAGGGAAGGGAGGGGGGGGGGGGAGGAGGCAGGGCCAGATGAATCTGGGTGGATTTAAGGTTTTAGAATGGTTACATTGGTTGAAATAGAATGGAAACATGAGAAGTTTACCTTCAGGAACTGGATAAACTCGTGGATGTATTCCGCACTTTCAGGCTTGAAGTTGTAAAAGTCGTGCATGATGGGCGTCACTGCCACAAGGAAGAGCAGCTGGCAGCGAGGCAGCCGGGAGTTCAAATGGGTGAGAAGATGGGTGAAGAGAACATAATGAGTTGGAATGGCAAGATCGGTACAAGGCTGATAAGCAAGGTTCGATCGGGCACGACTAATATCTAGAGGTAGACAAGAGTATAGAGGTTAAAAAAATATGCAGTGAATCGGTAATGTACTGCTAGGACGAATTCTGGAAAGACAAACCACGGCAACCGATGAAAGGACGCATCAGGAATTGTGTGGGTCGCATGACATTGTAACAAGGTGGTTTCTGAGCCGACTAAAAAGGATGTACCAGGAAGTATGCACCCAAGCTGCTGCCAATCGTAAACAGAATGCCACCCACTCCTTCCAACACGATCGCTGTCAAGAGAAGAATCTTGGGCTGCAACCACAAGCGGTAAATATTGGATAAAAACGTGGCGGTAATTAATGAATAGAGACGTGGATTGAACTCCTGCTGTTGATGCCTTCCCTCACAATGTTAAAGTTTGAAACCTACGATGTCAGTCAAAGACACTCCCGGAAACACGGACGTTAAGAAAAGGCACAGAGACTAACGGAAATCAGGATGTCGACTAAGAATGAAGCATTGCAAAACTCACGTCAACATGCGGAACGGAGAGACCTAACGAATCCTTCAAGTGAATTTGAAACGTCTCCAGCTTCGGAGTCATGTTCTTCAACGCGGGTCCGCCATCGGGACCGAAATAATTGAACCTGTGTCAACGCGGATCGGCATTCAGTAGTCAGTGATGTTTTTCACCATGGTTCAACAAAGCTCGCAGAGGCTTTGTGCGAAAAAAAAATCAAAGAAAATCAGAGTTGAATACAAGTTCCCACTTTTGCCATGCTGCGAGGATGAAAATGGCGGAAAAGAAGACTCTCCCAATGAAGGACGCGAATCCCATGGCAGGAGCTCTCGAATAGTAGCCAAAACTCGTGAAACTTTCTCCAGCTACCAGAATCGTGATCCTGAGATAAGTGAGCCTCCTGTCGACAATCTAAGGGCGTGTAAAATCCCCGCACACATGCAAAATTTGCCTTTGGCCGGATTTTCGTCGACCAATCCGGTCGACATTTCTTTCGCGAAAGTCGCCGGATTGGTCGACTTCGTGTCGTCACTTTTACAGCCACTATTTGCAGATTTGCATAACTTACAGGTTTGAGGGCCGAATTGCAAAAAGTTGTAAAATTTGCAGTTGCTACAGTAGTTGCGAATGGGCGACGGAGTCGCACGTTTGGCGGCAAATTGTTTGATTTGACGAGATCACAAATTTTGGGGTTATGCGATACTGTGCGACGTCGTACGTGACTGTCGCTCACGGTGTCGACTACTTGGCCGAATTGGAGTCGACATGGTGTCGGATACGTGTCGACTATTCAGCCAGCCATCATTTTCGTATTTTTTTCTCCGAAATAAACGAAGCTCGCAATTGATTCAGCGAACGTCGTAAACGGGTTACTTTCGCCAACAAAGGCCCGACAGATTTACCGAAAATTTGTTGTGGCACGACTTTACACGCCCTAATGGCGTGTGTTTCGCCGCCAGAGCTGCGCTACAACCGCTTCCAGTATTTGCACAAGTCGTTCAGTCCATTCGGTCCCAAGGAGCTGGCAGTGCGTGACGTACAATGTTTTCATAATGCAATAAGAAACGTAAGCTCAAAATTTCTTGAAACTGACCTTTGGCCAACAGAAACAAATCAAATCAGTATTTTCTCCGACACATGATGCACACAAACTATTAACACTGACACACATGGAAACCGCTAAAGAGTCTGCGGCTGTAAACTGAGGCACACACAGCAAGCCATTGCTGGCTTGCTCTATATCACAAAACTCACTAAACACACTTAGTGCTCCTAGAGCCACACAACCTATGCACACAAAAAGCACAGCAAACCAAAAAGCGTTAGGCAAACCAAAGGGATTAAAAGAAAGAGAGGCAAACCAGAGCTGCTGAGCAGTCACTTTGCTCTGATGTAAAAGGCGAGATGAAAAACGACGCATGTGCAGCCGCACATGGCACGCCTGTGAGTGAAGCAGCTCAGCAGCTGCAGCTCCTAGACACTGCTTCTTGGCATGATATCATGGAATGACATGCCATCAGGGAAGGGCTCCCATGGGGGCATGACGTGAGCGTCTTGCGACCAGTAAAGAGGCGCAAAAGAGGAGAGTGTATCTACGGCCGGGCGGCGATCTGCCCGCGGCTCGCGCCCGAAGCCATGCCTGCAAGCCCCGCAGGCATGCCAGCAGCAGCAGCAGCAGAAAACTGTTGGTGATACTGCTGCTGCTGCTGCTGCTGCTGCTGTAGATGCTGTTGCTGCTGCAGCTGTTGTTGCTGGTGCTGCTACTGGTGCTGGAGTTGCTGCTGTTGCTGCTGCTGCTGCTGGTGATGTTGCTGGTGCTGCTGGGTTTCATAACGTTGCTGTTGCTGTTGCTCTTGGTGTTGCGAGGCTGCGACTGCTTGTAGCGAGGATGCCATAGATGCGGACAGGGTGATATCAGACGACGGAGATAGCGACACCTCGCCTTCCGCCCCGAGCAAAGTGCTGCCCCCGCCTCCTCCCCCCAGCAACCCTCCGCCCATGTGTAGCTCCCCCAAGGGCCCCAATATCCCGCCCATGTTTCCCCCTGCAGCAGCGGAGCCCGCGCCATGGGCCAAGGAGTGGAATCCGGGGAGAAGCATCATTGCTCCGCCCATACCGCCGCCCATTCCGCCGCCCACACCGCCACCCACTCCGCCGCCACTTGCGGCAGTCACAGCCGCCGCGGCGGCAGCGGACATGGGGTCCTCCGCGCTCCCCAGCATTCCCATCATGCACGCGCTGCTTCCGCCCGTCGCGTTCGTCCCCCCCAGCAGCATCCCCCCGCCGTGTGGATCCATCTTCATGTCCCCCCCCGCGCTCATCGCTGTGCCCGCGCCCATGCTTGCGCTCAAGCCTGCGCCCATGCCCGTGCTCATCCCGCCGGGCCCCATGCTCATGGCGAACGCGCCCATTCCGCCTGCCGCAGCGGCGGAGGAAGTGCCTGGCGGATGCGGCATCAGCGCAAGCATGCCGTGCGGAAGGTGCATCGCGGGGAACGATCCCGGCAGGCCGAACCCGTTTATTCCCGCCATCATACCGCCACCGTACATGCCTGCGCCACCCATTCCCCCTCCGGTTCCCCCCATCGCGCCGCTGGCGGACGCTGCGGCGGAAGCTGCGGCGGAAGCTGCGGCGGAAGGGGGGGAGGAGCGGGGAAGCAGCGAGGGGCTGCCAGTGGAGGGCGGAGAGCCGACGAGCGGAGCGGACGAGCAAGCCTCCCGCGGAGACATGGGCGAAAAGGATGCGGTTGCGCCTGACGGCGTTGCGGCGAGCTGGGGAAGCGCGTGCGGGTGCGCGGAGTGCGATAGGTGCGCGGCAGGATGTTGTAGATGCGCCAGCTGCGCCGGCGATTGCGGCGCCAGCTGCGGCGCCTGCTGTGCCGGGTACATGGCGAGCGAGCCGGCGGCGATGGCAGCCGCCGTGCGACTGTGCAGCGACGAGTGGCGAGTGGGCGGCTGCGACCCCTGGCGACCGGAGAGAGAGGAGGGACGGAAAGGGAAGAACACGGAAGATTAGAGGGCAAAGAACGGGAGGGTAGCGGGCAAAGAAACATTGGAACACGAGCGGGACAACGCGAACCTCCGAGCCTCTGAATAGAAAATGAATGGGAGCCTCAGCCACGGCTACACGCGCGAAGTCGACGGACAAGAAAAGGGCCATGAAACATGGCGCTAAGAAAAAGCCCGTGGGGAGGCCAAGGATAGCGTAGTTAACATGCGTGGAAAGCGACATGGGAGACGGTGTAGCAAGGGCAGGCGGAAGGAAAACAGGATGCGGCTCGTACGGGGGAGCGGTAGGTGGTGCCGTCGGACTCGACGACCCAGCCGGCTTCCGCGGCTAGTGCGCGCAGAACGTCGTTGATGTCCGCCCTCGGCGGAAGGTTGTATCCGCCGTACTTGCGCAGGCCGGCAAAGATTTTCGTGGTTATGGCGCGCCGCTGCCGCTCGCGCAGCTTCGTCTTCTCCTTCTCGCTCTCCGTCAGCCTCGACGCGTCGCCGCCGTAGCCCCCCTCGCGCTTACACATGGCGGCCGAGGACGGCGACAAGTCCGCTGACGGCTTCATCCACCGGGAAGCGCGCTGCGGCGACGCGGGAGCGACTGAGCTGCGAGACTCGAGCGACCGAACGACCAAGCTGCAGGGTGCAGCGTTCTGGATTGCGTTCGGTGCTCTGGTTGCTCGGTGACCTATCGCCTCCAGCTCGTGCTGGCTACTGTGGAAATCGATTAGCGAATAAGTAGCCCGCTGATAAGCGACTCAACGCAACGCGCATAACCGTCGAGGGGGGCTTGGGCTTAGCCTGAGGCCACTAAGGACACAACCAGGGACAGGCGGTGCCAGGGAATCCTGTGTTAGCTTGCAATCCTGGTTTTCCCTCGTGTGGCAAGTTGAATGTGGAAAGTGAGCGAAGATATTTTTGTTGCAGCACCTTTTGCAATCGAGGTTGAGAATCGTCTGAGGGAGAAAGGGCACGGGAGGAAGCGAGGGCGGGAGGCCATGGTGGCGGGACTGACGGCAGCAATAGTGGCGGGGCATGGAGGAAGCGAGAGGGGGATGAATGCAAGAGACCAGGCAAAGCCACCCACCCGGCCAATGCCCAACCAACCAAGAGTGAGCTTCTTAACCCATTTCAACCCAATCGAAACCATTTCAACCTCCAACTTCCCTTGAGTTTTCCCCGCACTCGGGAGTGAGTTTCCCCTCCCCGGCCCAGCCAGACCTGGCGGAAGTGGAAGAGAAGAAGAGTGACTGCCCTGCTGTGACTGATTGCCGTTGATACGCGGAGAAGCAATACGCGGAACAGTGGGGGAGATTCTTCTCCAGCACCGCAGTCACAGGTTGGACAAGTGGGAGAATGGAAAGTGGGAGGAGGGGGGGGGGGGAGGAGGGGAGGGGGGATGTTGCTGGATGCCGCGCTGCGTGTTGCTGGATGCCTTGGTGTGAGGAAGAGGAACAGTTTGCGCGGAACTGGGGGGGATTGTGGAAAAGGTCGGAAAACATGCGCGCACGCATGCGCGCTCCCACTCTGGCGACGAGTGAAGCACGACCACACCTTATCCGAAAATCTTCCCGAGGTGGCTGGCCGAATGACATGGAGACACAAGTTGATGATGACGTTGGGCGAGAATTTCCACAATACAGCTCACACAAATTTCCAAGATACTTGGGAATATGAATACCGCTACGAAAACATTATAAAGATTGCTTGGCAAGGCAATTGAGCCCGGTTACCAGAACACCAAGGTTGGGAAACACGACGAAGGATTTACAGGCGGGTCGGAAGCTTGAAAATGCTCACACATCAGCAGCCGAAAGTTTTTTCCTGTTGAACAAACCAACAATCGCAATGATTGAATCGACAAAGGACTCGCACGTGATTGAACTTATCGGAAAGAAACGTTATTCGTTCAGGCAGCCATATGACGCTGGAGTTGATCTGGCAACGGCAGAATGTGAGTCACTCTCTGATTCATCGGAGATCGGAAATCCCCTTCAAACTCTTCGATAGACGGAATGGCGACTCTATAAAACGAAGGAATGCCAACTAAATTTAGGAAATGCCAAAGTAAAATTAGAAGCATGCTCACAACTCCTTGCATGGATAAAATTAATAAATAAGACCCTTTCCGTATATTCAGATTAACAGGTCCCATAAGTAATAATTACCTACTGGTAGGTAAGGAATTGAGTTCTGGTAGGGCACAAAGATGCGACACCACCACGGGTCACATGGGTAACATGGAGCAAGACACACCAGAACTAACAATTACTATGAGCTCATATTGCAGTAAGTGAATCGCCATGAGTTAATCTTATTTGCCAGGAAACAGAGAACTGGTGAAGACACACCGAGACATGGTATCACAACCACCTCATGAGCCTCCTACTTTATGAATAAATCAGATAGGATTTAAGCCCCGATCCCCTGTACCACGCCCTAACCGCATTTCGTATCCTGGCGCCTTTGACATTCATCTTACTCCAGAGCCCAACAAACGTAAACCCGTGATCAGACGTCCCAGGCAGAAACGCCGCCGCTTGTGGGTGGCTTTTCACGTACTCTTCCACGGTATCCAGCACGTTTACTGCAACTGACAGTACCGAATCCCTCTCCGCGTCCGTACAGTGCTGCATTGGTTTCTGAGCGACTGGAATCACACTCCGCATGTTGCTGCTCTGGAGTTGGCTGACTGTGATTGGCTGAGCGAGGAGCTCTGACAGGCACGTGTCAGCGTAGGTGAAATCGAGCGGCATCTGGTTACCGATGACTGCGGCGTGGCGGTCGAAGAGGGAGTTGGCGATGAAGACGGGGCGGGAGACGAAGCGCAGGGAGTACTGCGGGAAGAAGCAGCGCCACTGGGTGCTGGAGTTGTACTCTGGAATGGGGAGGGGGAGAGGGAGGGAGAGAGGTATAACAGAAATTAGAAATATAGGACGAGTGCTGGCGTTGTGCCGTGGATGGAAGGGGTGAGGAGATAATGGAGGATTGTTTGACAGGATATATTAGTAATGCAGGATAAGTGCTGGAGTTGTGGTCTGGGTAAAAGGGGTGCGGGAGTGTGAGAGGATGGATTTACAGGATGAGTGTGCACTGGATGGGGGTTGCGGGGGAGAGGGGTGGAGAGATGATGATGTAAAGTTAATAAGTAATGGAGGGAGTTGGGGAGTTGGAGTGTGCTGGTTGAGGGGGGCTGGGTTGGGTAGGATTGGGAAGGACTGTACTATAGGTGGGGAGGGGAGGGGAATGTGGGGGTGGAGGGGAGAAAAGGGTGAGGGTTTAAGGAAAACATTCCACGCAGTGAGCGGTGCAGCAACATCAGCTGCTTCTGCGCCAGCAGGGTTGGTAACAGCATAAGTGTTTTGCAAGCCAGGATGCGGGGGAAAGGCCGGGGGAAGTGGCCAGAGGGGAAGGAACGGAGGAAAGAAAAAGCATGTGGAAAAGACCACGCAGAAAGGAAAATGGAGAAACAGGAAGGAAGCTTGAGCGGACAAGCGGAAAGCGCTCACCAGCACTGCAGCGGTCGCTCCCCTGGAATTGGTGTATCGCCACCAGCTTCTGTGCCACTGAGCGGAACCTCCGCCCGCCCTTGCGGTCGCGCGCGTCTGTTAGCGCCCACGGGGACAGCCAGGTCGGGGGGGAGCGGGAGGAGGGGGAGGGGGGGGTGAGACGAGGGAGAGTAGATGGTGGTGTGGGGGGTTGCCGGGGGGGTGTGGGGGGGGGGGAACGGGGAGGGAATGCGGGTGAAGCTGAAGGGGAATGCAATGACGGGGTGTGGGAGAGGGAGAGGACGAGTGAGAACTCGTGATACATTCACAGAAGGGAGCATTCAATGTGTGCAGAACCATATGCTTACCGATGAACACACCCATGAGGCCGGCACCTGGTGGTGGCGCCCGTTTTGCGTCGACTCAAAACTCGTCTCATTTCAAGCGGATCGCAGATCATTTCAAGTGGAGAAGTGGTTTGTTGCCTGGCTTACCGATGAACACGCCCGAGTCCATGAGGCACTTGGTGGTAGCGCCCGACAGCTGCGCCGCGATAAAGTCACAAAAGGTCGTCACTGCCTGCGCGCCCGCCGATGCTCCCGATATAAGCACCTCCGAGGCTGACGACATGCCACGTGTCGCCAGGACATCTGTCAGTTCGACGGACGTCAGGAACGGAAGAGGGGGGAATGGAAGGGAGTGGAAACGGAAAGGAGGCGCGGGGGGGAAGTAAAGGCGGAGAAGTGAGAATGAGGGATGAAGCAGCGAGACCACCATATTTTCTTCGTTATTCCATCCGTATCCTTGGCACAAAGAAAATCTATAGCCCACTCGCGGCACACCTGATGATTCCAGTACACATGCGTAGAATGCAAACAAAAACACACAAACTTCGGATCCTCACCTCTAAGAATCGCACGGAGAACCTTTCGACCGTCGAGGTACAGCGACGGACCGCCAGCGACCGATCTCAACCCCGCCTTCCCTTGAAACCCCCCTCCGTCGCAATACACGGGCATGACATAGTTCCAATTAAAGAACAACGGATTAGTCTTGGCCAGCGGGCTCATCATCCCCTTGCTGAGAAACTTCGACCACCGCCAGTTCTTGTCCGCCTGCATGCGGGTGCTCCCCAGCGGAGTCTTCGCGCGGTCCGCGCAGTCCTCCATGGTCGCGCACCACCCGCCGATGGGCAGGTGGATGTGCCACGACTTGGCTCCGCTGCCGCTGCCCGCGCGGAAGTAGTAACCCGGGGGACTGCGCGGCGGAACGCGGAAGAGGGAAGGGAAGAGGCGCGGGGATGGAGAGAGGGGAAGGGGGGTGGGCGGAGGTTTGGGGTTGTTACATTGCGTGCCGTTCCTGTCAGTTGTTCAGGTCACGCTCAGAAGGCATGGGCTGCGTGCCGTTCACTCTTTCGTTCTTCCTTGCACTCTTTCGTTCTTCCTTGCAGAAGGTTACTTATTGGTGTTCGCACGACATACGAACCTGGGCTCTATCTGCGTTTATGAGATAACAATGAGACTAATCTGCACGCGAGGATCAGCTAACCACCCCTGCAGAAACCATCAGTCGTCGGAGCATTGTCGTAATGCTGATTCCTATTCGCGACGCATAGCGGGAACAACTTTTATCGTTTACAATATCATGCTGCGGCGAGGCATTTCGCGTATGTAGTACTGCCGTCCTCCTTCCCCCGCCTGACGTTCTAAACGTTCCAGATCGCTCCTTAGACCCACCTGCCGTCAAGGCATTTCGCGCCGAGGTCGTTGTTGGGCAGGAGGTAGAGGTTCGTGTTGGGAACGCCCGACGGAATCGGACCCATCGACGACGCACCCGCCGACTCGGCGGCTGCTGATACCTGCGCTAGAAGGGCCACGGCTAAACATGCTGCTGCTGCTGTTGCTGCTGCTGTTGCTGCTGCTGCTGCTGCCATTTCCTAGCGTCTACGAGATTGAGTTCAATGGATTTCCTAGAGTCTACTAGATCTTGAAGGGATCGAAGACGTGTTCTAGCGGAGAGCTTGCTGTGACCTAAGCAGCTTTGCCTAAACCGACGTAATTACCACGTTCACATAGAGAGTGACCGCACTAAGCAGCCCATGGCCCTTCGACGGCCCCGTACCGCACGACAAGAGCGTTTGTTTATGAGATCTAAACGAACGCGGACATCGAAGGATTGTGACTACATATGAAAGTGATATTGACGAAGGGTCGTCGTATGTATGTCCTCATTCAACTGCCAGAAACTCGTCGGTGGGGAGGGGAAGGCGGGGGTGCATGGCCAATAGGAGTATGAAGAGCTGTGGGTGGTGCCGAGTAATCCTGACTAGAATGTGCCATGCGGGAGGAAGTGTGCGCGTGGGTGACGAGATGAGGGCTTTGGCCACACGCCCAATTTTTGTGCTCGAGGTGATTGACCAACATCGCTTTCCCCCAGGCACAGACACCATCCGAACGAATTATATGACACCCAGTGTGCTTCTCAAATAGTACGCCTATTTTCCCTAAAAAAACTTGTCCATACGGCATTTTTAGAACTTACGAGATCCTATTTGTCTCGACTTCTGTTCGAGTAATATGTTTATCTAAAGTGCGAAATATCTATGTTTCATCTGGACCAAAAAAAAAAAGGATTCCAGGTACAGGTGGTGCCCGTGCCTGGGAACGCGAAACAAGAAGGTCTGGTCTACCGAGCGAGCGACACGAGTAGGATGATCGCGGCAAAATTGCGCGACGCTCTGGCGCGCGAACTTTTCTTAATCCCATTGACCTATCTCGCACCGCAGGTAGGGCGACCAAACCTCGTCCAAATGGATCGACTTACATGCGCTTCCACGTTATTTTCATGCCGTGGACGGGTTATATTGGAGTTACAGGTGCAATTTGGATTTACGGTCAGAATTGCGAAATTACAGCACGGGGTTTCGATTCTTTCACCAAAGACAGATTTTGCGACGTGTTACGTCACTTCAGTCTGGTAGCGCCGACAAGGCTTGTCTTATGCTGATTTTGTTAGGTCTTGTTTTTTATACGGTGTGAAACAACTTAGGGAGCCAGGCACCGCTTTCAAAGTATCAACCCTAAACACCTTGCCAGCTCCCGTGCTTAGGGTTGATACCTCCCGAATTGCACCACATTCGAGGCATCAACCCTAAACACCTTGCCATCCGTGTTTAGGGTTGATGCCTCCCGAATTGCGTCCCTGTATTTCGGGGTTTATTTTTTTGTCGGCCCCAGCTTAGATTTAGTGCTCCTTAAATGTTTCAGTAAATCGCGGTTGACACGTGGCAAAAAAATGTATGCAGACAAGAAGCGTGACACTCGCGCCAAACATTTTCGCGCTACCGACACAGTGATATCGAGAGGGGCCACCGACTCCCACGCATCAATATTGGCAGTTACAATCGCAAAAGCGCATGTAGGTCGATCGATTTGGACGAGGCTCGGTCGCTCCACCTGCGGTGCGAGACTGGTCGAAGGGATTGAGATAAGTTCGCGCGCTGGCGCGGTGCGCAATGTTGCCGATGATCGCGTTTCAATAATGAGCCGCGCTTGCAAGGGGATGTGTGGATTGGAGCTTCACCGACAACGTCGCTCGCCTGAATGCCTGAAACAAAGTCGCGAAACCATCTCTGCTGGGCCTCGCTTTCGTCTGCATCGAAAATTGTTTCGTCAATAATCTCGCGAGCTCCCGTTGCTTTTTCGCTGGTTTCGTCAGGGTTTCCAGCTTTCGAGAATTCAGTTCGTTTAGGTGAATGCTGGTGCTGTGCGGAAACAGAATTGAGGGAGCGTTTTGCTCAATCCCGCGGAATCGCGGTTCGTTTTATTTTCTCCACGTGGCATGCCTTCGATCGTGGGAACCGAGATCTGTTTTATTGTTCCCACAATTTTTAAGAGAAATATAGTTGGGCTTAGTGAGTCACATATACTGCCCTGCCCGCGGGCAAAAATAAAACCCCTATAGGAAAAGCATGCGTTAGGGATGCATCAACCCTAAACACCTATAGGCAAGGTTTTTAGGGTTGATGCCTCCCTAACGCACGCCATGCCCGAATGGGTTTTTTTTTTGCCCGTGGGCAGCGTGGTACAAAATTTAACTAAGTTTCTCTTGAACTTTGTGGGAAGAATAAAACGGATCGTGGTTCCCGCGATCGAAGGCTTGCCACGTGGAAAAAATAAAACGAAACGCGCTTCCGTGGAATTGAGCAAAATTCTCGAATTGAGGCTACTGCGGCAGTTTGGTCACGCACCCGCGGCTCGAGAGTTAAATTTGAATTGCGACTCGCGATGAACTTCGGAAGAAGTGGCGCACTGCCCGGCACACAACCAGGTTCAAGGAGTGTCGTGGTTCCTTGGTATTTCTCGCGGCACGCTTTGGATGGCGGGAACATGGATTCGCGCGACGAATCCCCGACTCCATTCAAGACGGAATTGTCCTCGTTACCAAACTTGTACCACGGAATGCAAGTTCATCCAAACCTTGTAAATACGAGGGTTTATGCCTACAACGACTGGGTCACAAAGCCCTTATTATCCTTATAAATACATGCTCTTTACAACATGCACTAGAGTTTGCAAAGAGAAGCTGTCACTCCCAAATCAAAAGTAGAGCTTTCCTCCTGAAAGTTTCCCCTTACCAGTCAACAACGGCATCCTTCATGTACGTGTTATTATGCGGGGGGCTAAACCACTGGGAGGTTGTGGTTACGCAATGACCCACGCAATCCGTCGCTAGGAACGCCAGTACGTTCTTCTCATTTCCCACCAAGCTCTTCAGTTTTGTGAACAAATCTGTTACTGTAGACTGTATTGTAACGCGGGAAGTAGAATCACACTCCCCCGGCTTTGCATTGAAGGGCTTCCATTGATTGGAAACCACAGCCTTTTGCAGGTCCTTCTGATCCCATATGATTTGCCGAAGGCACCTGTTGTTCACTTGAAATGTGGTGTTCCGCAGCTGGTTATACAATTGAAGGGCCGTGTAGTCGAATAGCGCATTGGTGATGAAAAATGGACTTGAGACCGCCTTTAGTGAGTATTCTGGAAGCATGCATTTCCATGGTTCCGTACCTGTAGCTTCAAGTACAAAAAATAAAAAGCATCAGAACAAACGGGTTCTTGTGAATGTAATCGCAACTCGTTACGTGAGGCTGTGTAACAGTTGGTGCTTACCTTGGCTGCATTTGCTGTCGGTGAATTTATGGAGGGAAGCAACAGTTTGTATTGTTGACCGGAAAGTGAAACCATTTTGCCGGTCCTTCGCATCTGGGAGGGGAAATGGAGAGAAGAAGGCAGAGGAGATATTGAACCAGAGGGGAGATAGTGAACCAGAGGGGAGGTAGTGAACCAGAGGGGAGATAGTGAACCACGCTGGTGCTGAACACAATGGACACGAGCACAGCGAATGGAGATATAGAAAGGTAATCTGTGCTGATGTTCATATGATTGGAACATACATGATCGATACACAATCCACCTTCAGTTGCTGCTGTCCCTCCGTGAAACACGCGGCGGCCAACGAGGAGTCATAGACCCCACCCTAGCTACGGGGAAGCAGCCATTTGTGCGCAACGTGAGCTGACCTCGTACGTGTCTACGAGGCATGTGATTTGAGCCCTTGAATCTGAGACACACTTAGCCGTTGGATTTGAGACATTCTTGGACTCTACTGCACTGTGCTCTTACCGAGGATGAAAAAAAGACGCAGTTGGGGCACTCGAGGCATGAAATTCGGCTTTTGAGGCGCCTCGAGAGGCACTTGGAGCATGAGATATGAGACGTCCTTGCTGCCCTCTCACCTAGGAAGAAGGCGCCGTCGATGAGGCACTTGACGTTGGCCTTGGGGTGCACGCCGTCTCAAAACTTCACCAGGCTGACCTCTCACCTAGGAAGAAGGCGCGTCAATTGCCCTGGGATTTTAGATGTATGTAAAATCTACCGTGCTGTGCAAGGAGAAGGTAGAAAGGGAGAAAGGGAGAAGAAAAGAGGGAGGGAGAGAGATGGAGAGGGACGGAGAAATATGGAGAGAGGCGGAGGGACATGGAGAGAGGCGGAGGGGCATGGAGAGAGGGGGCTACGCGGGAACCGCGGGGAGGGTCGCCGTGAACGGCAAGGGGAAAGGCGCTGCGCTGTTCCTGCAGGGCGACGCGATCGTTAAAGCCGTGCTAAGTGGTAAGCGTACTAGTCAGTGCATTGGCGGGTAATAGCTGTGTGGGGGGTGCTGAGCGTGCCTGTCACTAACCTAGTGGGTACGAACCAACATCGGGCCCCGTCTATCGCTGCTGTGATGAATCCCGTAATTCCAGATTCTTCCCACGAAAGTCTTTCTCCGCCTCTCTCCATGTCTCTCCGCCTCTCTCCATGTCTCTCCGCCTTTTTCCATGTCCCTCCGCCTCTCTCCAAAACCCTCCGCCTCTCTCCATGCCCCTTGTCTCGCGATGCACGTCGGATATTCCTAGTATTGAAGTAAATGTTTGCTATATAAGCTCACGCCTTTCCTGTCGGCCTGCGAGACAACTTACTTATGTCTTCTTAATCAGCAGGGAGTGACAGATACTATTTTTACGGGCTTATACCAAGATAATTCAAGATACGGCTTATACCAGCTTACTTGACCGATCAAGTTTGAAGATAAAAATGCCACGTTCATTTTTGTAACTTAATATACTCAACGGGTCAACAACTTCATATACCGGACCCGACATTTTATCAAGATGCAAGGAATCTGGTCCATTCTTGGTATAGCCGCCGCTGAAAGGCCTGTGGATAAGGTCGTGCCGGATGAATGGCACCACAACTATCACTTCAGGTCAGCGACGCTTTCTTCTAACCTGCCTGACACCCTGCAGATCAGCTGGTCATTACAAACACTGAGTCACATATGGATTGTTTATCAGAATGTGGACCATTTCGTCGTCGCTCGGATGGTTTCATTTTTTCAGCATGCATTGACAACGGGCAATCAAGCTTTCCGTTTTCATCTCCTCTACGAGTTCCATTGGTTCAGCCTTCTGGACATCTCTTATGAATATATTTATCGCTGAAACCTGTGATCACCACTTTCCGTCCACCAGGGATGATGACGAAAACGAAGCTGAGTTAAAGCGTTTGCTTTGGGTGTACCTTGCAAGAAAGGAGCAGGTTAGTTTGGGTAATCATATTAATGTTTACGTCGCCATTTTATTTTTCGTGTGTGGGCTGAACAGTCTAAAGTGCAGGTTCTTTATTACGCAATGGAAGAATGTATACCGTAACCTGACAGCCCTGTTTATTGAGCGGTTTTTATAAAGTCCGCGAGAATTCTAACACTAGATGTGTTATTTCTTGATTTTTAATGTCGCATGTCCTGCGATGGCTCCACACAGGACCCGACACGTTCTGCAGCCAGGAAATTGATTGACTTATTCGTGGAAACCTATGACGATTGGACACCTCCAAGCTCTTCGTCTCCAACAGAACCACATGAAGGTTTCGAAAACAAGGAGGTCGTTTCATCTCGCGAGGCTCATCCCTTGGAGATGATTCGATGCGTTGTCAGAGAGCTGGTGTGGCTCTCTGATCTCGCCCAAAGTGAGCCTCTTTCGTCATATTGACCTTAGTTCTGCATCACCTACATACATACTAATTTCACGTGTGCATTCAGGCCTCCTTGTGCCCGTAATCAGTTACAAAGCTGCAATTACAGTACTTCGCACTTAATCTGTGCCATATTTTCCTTCATAACTGGCATAACCTTTCAGCTGCATCAACCAGGCGGAAGGATGAGATTGCTAAAGAAAGTCCTGCCGTTGTTGGAAGTGGGTCTGAGATCGAAGTCGAACGACCAGACGAAGACATTGAATTGTTTGTGCCAAAGCGGGACCTCGAGCATGCCATCAATGTCCTTCAGGCTGCAGCTATTATCACTGAAAGTGCTGAGAACCGCAAGCGCTTTGTATTTTTCCGTGGAATCGTCACTTCCTTGGATGTGCTGAAAGGTGAGCTGCAGAGTGACTTCGTTAACCCTGTATACATAAATAACCGCAAATTCATGTCCATTTCTACTCAGTTTCAACCTTCGAAATGAGAGCATGTTTCGTCGGCTAAAATTTGCTCTTCTATTCCGCGTTCTGCAGGCATCACCATGGATATCGATGCCCACAACGCATCAACGAGAACTCGAGCTAGCAAAACACCTCCTTGTTCCGAGCCAGTGCTTGAACATGGACCCCGAAAAGCTGGTGCTCTGGGCACAGAGGATACGGATGATGGTGATTGGAAGACTGACGGAGGCCACAGCAGCGAGGTAGCTCCAACTCCAAAGTCGCAAGTGCTGCAGTTCCTTCTCTCCGCCTCGCAGCTCATCTTGCAAGTCGTTATCAATTTTCTGAAGCCTGCCATTCAGCGCAAAGGACATCTGGTTCCCAAGGTTGTTATTAGTACGGGAGGAAGCAAGAGGTCTGAGATGCTCAAGAAAACCAAGCAAGGAGAAACGAGTTCTGGCGGTGGCCCTGATGGCCCAAAAGAAGGGTTCTCAAAAAGGGAAGACCCTGGCCAGAAGCCAGAGATGGCACTGGGGACGGAAGTGTTTGAGGCGTTTTCTGTGACACCATCCGCCGTCAGGGAAGTGGATGTGCCACGACTTGACTCCGCCGCCGTACCCCACGCGGCGGTAGTACCCAGGCAGGCTGCGGGGAGGGCGTGGCGAGAAGGGAAACCGCGGCAATACACTCGGTCGTTCAGCAACCATAGTGCCCCGGAAAGGGCAATGATGGAGACGAGACCCATGCGACGGCGACAGTCATGGCGCAACAGCAAAAACCAATTGTTGCAGAATGGTTTCAATCCTGGGCTCCTAACAGCAGCTGATAGCTATGTTGCAATGACCAGAGTGCGCACCATAAAAAAGCAAAAAAACCTTTTTTTGCACAAGAGAGAGAAAAAGAAAACAACCATTTTTTTGCTGAACCAGAGTCGAATAGTCTATCGAGGTAAAACTGGCTATAGAGACGACCGAGCAAAAGAAAAACGAACCTGCCATCGAGGCACTTCGCTCCGAACGAGTTGTTACGCAGCAGAACGAGCCGCGCGATTCCGTCATTGCCTGGTACTCCTCCGACATTCGCGCTCGCCTTGACCTTGCCTGCAGAGCTCCCCTTTGCACCGCTCGCCTTACCGCTGCTATTTCCGCTCCTACCGCTGCTCTTTCCGCTCTTTCCGCTGCTTTTTGCGCCGCTAATAGAAGCTTCCGCGAGACCTACGAGCAGGAGGACGAAGGCCAAGCACAAGCACAGCCTCAACAATGGTTGCCTTCGCGCCGAACGTTCTCGCTCCACCCGCCGTCTCTCGATCCCTGGCTGCGCTCGCATCTTGCCCCTCCGCGCCTCTTCGCCCCTGTACGCCCCCCCTCGCCACTCCTATCCCCTCTAGCCCTTCCTCCCTATTCAACTCGAGGCTTCCTTTCAACTCACCACCTCCTCAACGCTCATCGATATGTTGATGAGACGATCGCAGGGCAGGGAGAGGCCAACGCAACCTAGTTTGAGGAACAACGGAATCCAGTTTCCGTCCCACTGCGCAACCGATTAGTCACTGCTGGTTACACAGAGCCTACGCTCCGACGCTCCTCAAGAACTGCGCTGTCAATCACACTGGCTTCTCGATCTTCCATGTGAAGTCGACGGGTTGTCCGTACTAGCAAGATTGCGCACAAGCACGAGCACCCACCCTAAACCAGCCGGTCCAAAAAGGTCTGGTTTCTTGTACCGCGGCTCGCGACCCAGCGACGTTCAAGCAGCCTTCTGCTGGTGACTCCAGCAGCCTAACAACCGACATGGCAAGGACGACCAGCCTCGCCCAGCCCTGGGCTGGGAGCCGAACACCTGTAGCGGTGCATTACAAGGTGCGATTTGGGAGAGGAGATCAGTGCTGGTGAAAAGAGGGGCTGAAGTTCCCGTCGAGTTGCGGGCTGATGTGGGACGTTCAAGCACGAAGTCCCGTGTCGCGGATTTTGCTTCAATGCGCTCCAGTATATTCATGGTTGCAAGGGCTGGTTGAAATGTTTGACGCATATCTGCCTGACGTGGCCCTCTGCCGATTGCGAAACGTGAGTTACCCTACCAAAGGTAGCACACAGCCGACAGGTGAGCATACCCAGGGCTGGGTCGTGAATCGTGATTATTGATCGTTCGATGCATTCATAATCTGACGGAACTGGAACCAGGGTTCATATCAAAGCGACTCGGCGGATTGGCGACGAATGCGGAGTGGAGGAAGTGTTGTGATGACCTGGCGTAGCGCAATTCTTGACATCATCAATGCCGCGCCTCCAACAACCGGTCGCAACATGACCTGGACTTCACCATTCAGCGTGGTTTGTTGTATATAATGTGATGCAGCACATACAAACAGCAAATGGAACTCATTTTAATAATACCAGCATGTATACCAGCATATGTAATTACCCAATTACCAATATCATACATCCCCTAAGTGTACAGCATTGGCTGATCACTACTTTCCAAGGCCACCCACCTAGCTACAGCTACATGGATCGGAGTCCTGTCAACCTTCACTGCACTCCACATCCGTGAAGTGACAGTGCTGTGCGCAATAAGCCACACTGGCACAAACGCACCAAACCCTTTCTTGGTCTTCACTATATTGAGGATGCTACTGTACACTGCTGCAGCTGTATCCTGTGCTGCACTGCACTCTCTTTCCGTGCACCAGCCAGCTGGACCCTCCAGCGGTGGTCGGAATGAACGTGATTGTAATGAAGCCATTAAATTCGGTTGTGACCAAATCAATCTCGTTAGGCAGCCTACAGGATTGGTGGTGTTGGGAAGCTGGTTCCCAATCAGCAGCGAGACTCTATCGAAGGCAGGGTTGACAATAAAGAAGGGGGAAGAGGCGAGCGGAAGGGCGTATTGGGGAAAGAAACATCGCCACCGCTCAGACACAGGGGTCACTGCAGGCAGGGAGAGACGAGGTATTGCCGAGGAGATGGATGGGTGGGAGGGAGTAGATGAAAAAGACATCAGATGGACTGATACAACGGAGATTTTGCCATCTTGGGATATAACCGTTGGTCACAGAAGTGGCGCAATGTGAAGAAACGTGAAGCACGGCATGAAGGGAGGAGAGAAGGTCCAGAGGGCGGAAGAATACCACGGGCAGGGGGGGGGGGGGGGGGGGGGGGTGGGGGGTACGATGGGAGGGGAGGAAACCGCGTATCGAAATAGAGTCAGATACAGGCAGGCAATTAAGATGCGCCAGATATAGCGCCAGGCACAGTAAACAAACAGGCGTAGACTGCAACTGGTTGCATGAGAGCAGATGGAGCACCCACCTTGATCGCAGCGGGACTGCGGGGAGAACTGGTGCAGCGCTGAGACCTGCTGGGCCAGGCTCTGAAAGTGCATTCGCCCCGTGCGGTCCGGGGCGTCTGGTGGGGGGGGATGGGGAGAGTGGGAGTGGAGGAAGAGAGTTAGGAAACAGGGGAGGATGTGGGGAACGGAAGAAGAGAGTGGGGTAATGGGGTTGAGAATGGGGGAAGGTGGAATAGTACAGGGGAAGGGCGGAGAGAATGGGCTCAGTGGGGAAGCAAGTGGTGGGAAGCAGGTTATGGTGAGAAAAAGGGGCACCCACCGGGAAAAAGGCACCTATCAGTGGGAAGAAAGTAAAGGGGCTCGTACCGGGGAAGGAGGAGGAGGGGCGCGTACCGGGGAAGAAGGAGCCATCGAGGAGGCACTTGACGGTGGCGCGGGGCAGCAGTGCAGCAAGGGAGTCGCACATGCGCATCACGGCCAGCCCCCCCGCTGACGCACCCTGGTCGCCCTCAAAATTGCCCGGTTCGCCAGCAGGTCTGGTGAGGTGAGCAGTGGTGAGAGAGGAAAGGCATGAGGAGGGACGGATGGAGAGGAGGCGTGAATAGGGGCAGGCAGAGATGAGGCATGAAAAGCACGGACGGAGAAAGAAAGAACCTCTCGCTCTAGTATGTTTCTTAAACTACCAAATGACACTGCTCGTAAGAGAATCTATGCCACACATCCCAAGGAGGCACTTCTGTTAGGCGAAAAAAGGAACTCAAACATATCTCCAACAACGCACCATCCATGATAGCGCTGATGATCCTGCTCCCATCCATGTGCACGTAGCGCCCCTCCCCCACGGCCACGCGCCCGGCTGCCCCCGCATAGCCGCCCCCATCGCAGTAGACAGGCATGGCCAGGTGCCACCCCGCAAAGAACGGGTTCGCCCCCTCGTTGCTGCTCAGAATGCCCCCAAACCGGCCCTGCACCCACGAGGCCTGGGGGAGGGAAAGAGTGGGAAAGAGAGTTGAATGGCCAGTTGAAATCCGGTGATAAACTCAGCAATTCATATGAAGTAGCGATGTTTTTTGTTTCTTTTTATTTTTATTTTTATTTTTCTTGTTTTTCAACTGCTGCATCAAAGACCCCTAAGCCAATGCAGCCTGAGTGGCATGAGGGATTAAGGGGGAGGTGTAAGGAGGAAAAAGGAACAGCTTTGTGGCCAGGCCAACCCATAACATTTAGTGTTTTGAGAACTATCAGAAGTCAGTCAATTTATAACTTTGCATGTGGGGGGAATATGTCGAGGCTCCTGATTCCACTCACGTTATTGGTCGGCGGCCACAGGGTGGTGCCGCCCAGCAGCCGCCCGGCCCGCCAGCGGCACTGTCTTTTGTTGGCGCACCACCCGCCGCCCGGAAAGTGGATGTGCCACGAGGTGACGCCCTCCCCAGGTGCCGCCCGCAGGTAGTACCCCGGCGGACTGGAACAGATGCAAGGAGGACGAGCGGAGAAGGAGGGGAGCGGGGGAAGTGGGATGAGCGAGTGGGGAGTGGGGGAGCAGAAACAGTCTAGCCGTTGACCATTATGGCGGTCCATGAAGGTTACAGAACAGAGTGCATGCAGCCTTATTGCGAAGCACAGCTTGATGGGGGCGATGATTGCACCAGCAATCCAACAGAACAAGATGGTTGGCAAACGGCAGCAGTTTTTGTGTTTTCTGCAATCAACTTTGTCAACCACCTTTCTGAAGCGCAAATTTCGTAGAATCTTCCACTCCATACCTCCCATCCAGGCATCGCGCTCCGTATCTATTCTCCGGAAGAAGAACCAACGTGGCGAGACGTGTTTCACTCGCCGCTCGACGCGTCGCTCCTAGCCGCAGCGCACTCAATCTTGAAGGGCACACCGCCAGGAGGATAAAAAACGTCACGGAAATTTGCCATGCCACGTGGACGGCTGGAATTCGACCACGACAGTAGATTTCCAAGCCTCGCATCACCGAGATCGACGGGTACAGAGTCATGATGGGTTCTACGATAGTGCGCGAAAGGTTCGCCAAAAAACAACGCGGCCTCAGCATGCGAGATAGGGCGACGGAAATCCAGAAGAGATGACAGAGGAAGAGGCGATAGGGGAAGAGTTGATAGGGAAAGGCGATACGGGATGCGTAAAGCGTGGGGTGAACGGCGAGATGGGGAGATTACGGCTCGACGGGCCACTGCCGAGGACAGATCGTCGAAGGGGTTTCGTGAGACGATCGCCATGGCGGAGATCAGTCGTCTATAAAAAATAGGCGATTCTGCAGCCACTAGCTTGGCGAGTACTTCACAACACACGTTGCGGTTAGTGGCTGTGCGCCTGAACGCTGTTGGCTGAGTGTCTGAACTGTCTGCACTGCGATTGGACACGCGTATCTGCGGGATTGGCTGTAAATCACTTGATTGGGATCGGACCGTAGATGACTGGCGGTCCTTCCTGCGGTACGTCGTTCCCCAAGCGGCCTTCTAGATAATCCGTGTCGGGCGACGAAGTCGAGAAGACAAGTGCAACAGCGACAAGAGAGGTTGCCGCGGGTCGGTTATTGGCAGCCAGTACTTCTAACAGGCAGGCGGGCAGGGCGTGTGTGAGGAGGAGAGAGGAAGAGCGATACCACCTAGCCACCGCTTATTTCATGCCCAGAAACGTCTTTATGAGACACCCTAAACGTTTTTTGGCAAGATAAACGAGACAGCAAGAATCTAGGGCCATGAATGGTGCTTTTCGATATCAATACATGGCATGGATGTTTACTTGCGAGTCATTCTGCGTTCCTCCTCGGTAGGAGTCCCTAACATCACCCTCGCAAATATTGAATTGTTCGAGAAACCAAGGGTAGTTGCCGATAGGTGTGAACAGATACGGTAAGCCTCGAAGTTGCCGGTGACCAGGGGTGTCTGGTTTGGGAGAAGCAGACAGGCGGAGTGTGTGTTTGGTCAACCGCCGCCAAAACTGCTCTGGTTTGGACGGAGGTGTATAGTTCGACTAGTGTGAAATAGTTTCCGGGAGAACATTACAGAAAGTGCTATTGTTCTTGGACGCATCATTTTCCCAGGTATTTGTGATGACATGCATTATATTACCATATAGTAGCCAGCCATCGCAATCTAGAGGTGATTCTGCAGCATGAGCTATGGGGTTCAGCAGAGGGATCCCACACACGAAGGAGTGTGGGTGGTTGGTACTCTCATCAGCAGAGCAGAGACATTTGGAAACGGTGTATGTAAATGTTTTTATTCATCGAAGTGGTATACAGTACATTCAGAGGCATTGTAATAACAAGTGGTATACACTCTAGGAAAGCTAAGTAATTATTACCATAAAGCACACATGATTCCTACACAAGTCAGTAAAACACACAGAGGAAGGTTTCTCACGCAGCATCACGCGACCAGTGCTAACAATAACAACCATGCACTCGAAGCCACTGCCAGGAGCAGCCATGAGGCCCTGGCGAAAGGTGAGCTCGCTTTGAAGTATGAGTCTGATCCTGGCCGCTGCTTGGGTGCTGCATACACAGTGAATGCCACCACGACGGAGCATTAGCATCGGAAAGAGAGAGCGAGTAGAGGAAGTGGGGACAGAGAGAGAGAGGGGGAGGAAATAAACAGAGAGAAGAGAGAAAATAAGAGAGAGGAAGGCAGCGAGAGGGGATAAAGAATCTGTGTGTGCGTGTGTGTAGTAGGGAGAGGAAAGTGCGCATGACTGCACTGGCACGTACTGGCCCGAATGCTGTCCCTCGCCCCACTCCTCCAGCCCCACCCCCCCCTTTTCTTCCCCCCCCCCTCGTCCGCCCACTCACCTGCAACAGACGTGCGAATCCCAGTGGCGTTTTTTCGTCGAGTACACCAGCAGCAGCCCATGGCGGGGCCGCACACTCACTCCCCCACAAAGTCACCCTCCCCTTCTCCACCCACTCTCCCCTGACCCCCCTCGTCCGCGCACTCACCAGCAACAGGTGTGTTGATCCCAGTGGCGTTCTCTGGCGCGTACACCATGAGCAGCCCGTGGCGGGGCGGCACGGGCGGGCGGTCACCGATGGCGGGGCCGAAGCGGGCGTGCATGACCTCCGCCATGACCTCCAGCTTGCCCTGCTCCGCTGTGTCCCAGTCGTCCTGCAGAATGCCGCCCGTGTCCTTCGAGTTGGGGCCCCACGTGAACCACGTCCACGAGAGCTGCTTCTTCCTGGAGTATGGGAGAGGAGGAAGGGGGAAGAGGACGGGAGAGGACGGGGAGAGGAGGAAGGGGGAAGAGGACGGGAGAGGACGGGAGAGGAGAACATTTTGGGGCGGGCACGTAGACGAAACGGGGGTGCATCACCTCCGAGATGAGATTGGTATCGCGGGAACAGAGAAGATGAGGGAGGTGGAAGAAAAATGACGGGACTTGACGGGAAAAATGACGGGACCCTCGTTCCCTCATCCCCTTCGAATCCATCCCCGTTATAACCTCACCTGATGTAGTTCCTTAGCGCGGCGACCCACTTCATCTCGCGTTGACTCAGCTGGTCCGTGCCGTCAACGGGCAGCAGGCTCCCCCACTCGCCCACCCAAACCGGCGCGATGCCCTGATCCACCACATACCCCCACAGGTCGTCCCAGTACCCCTCCAGGTTCGCGGGAAACGCGGGGTCGTACAGCCATGGCTGCCCGTCTTTGACCATGGGCCCGTAATCGTGAATGGAGTAGGCGAGCTTGTAAGGGATGTTGAGCTTGAGCGGGTAGAAATAGACAGGTCGCAGGTTCGATCCCCACCAGCAGTCGTCTCCGTCTAGGCCTTGCACGAAGATGAGCAGGTCGGGGTTCACCGCCTGCACCACGTCCGCGGCTCTGCGAAAAGGAGGGGCGAGGGAGGGGAGTGGTAACATCTGTTACATGAGAAGCGAAGATGAGCAGGTCGGGGTTCACCGCCTGTCCCCCTCGGTACACGAGGCGAAACTTCGCACAAGGCATCATAAGTAAAAGTGGATGAACGTTCTCCCTGTATTATTGCTCAAACCGCGAAAAACGATACGATAAGAAAGGTCGTCACGAGCGCACCCGATCGCGTCGCTCACACACCTCTTAGCGGCCGTGCGCCAGTTGTACGGCTCATTCACGCCGTCCGCCTCCCACGTGACGTCTGGATGCGACGGGTCGCGGTGCGGCTCGTTGAACAGGTCAACGCCGACCACGGTGCGCTCGCCGTAGTAGCGCGACGCGAGCAAGTTCCAGTTGTCGAGCCACACGCGCTCCGGGTTCCCCAGATCGAACCACAGCCCCGCGTCCGAGGCGTAGTCGGGCGGAAGCGCGGGGCTGACGCGCGAGTTGCTGAGGATCACGCGGATTCCGCGGAGCTTTGCGCCCGCAATCACCGCATCCATCACCTCGAGAGTCGATAGACCCTGCGCGGAATGGCGGGGGTAACACGCGCAAGAAGGGGGAGAAGAGAATGGGTTGTAAGCGCGTGGCGTAAGGCGGAAATGGGAAAGCGGGGAACGTGGAAACACGGGGAAGGCGCGAAGTGAAGCGGAGCTGGTGGGATGTGGTCCACACGTTATTGACCACAACAACGTTAGGAGACGCAGCAAGAAGCGTGGGGAGGTTCAGTAAGCATATCCCGATCTAGCGACCTATGTTACGAGGCGCCGCTGAGGCGGATTTCTGACGTGACCAGCTTTCTGAATAGACCCTGACTTGTTTTGGCCTATGAATCTGCCTTTCGGTTCTTTTCGGCTCTTAAACTACCTCGAGTTCAGGGCTTTTCTTGAAGTCGATGGATCCGTCAGACGGGCGAATGGACGGCGAAATGCACGACGTGGCGAAGTTGAGGCGAATAACGTTGAACCCGAGCGACGCCATCTGGTCCAAGTAGTCGCCGAGCCCGCGCGCCCACAGCCCGTCCGCGACGCAATTCGCGGCGTCGAAGCCGTTCCAGTTCACCCCCGAGAATTGCACCACGCGGCCCGCCTCGTCTAGAATCTGGCTTCCAACTGCGAACCAATAGCCGTCGCCCAGCTGGCTCGCGGAGGCGAATCGCGGAGCGGCGCAGGAGGCGGCGAGGAGGAGGAGGATGAGGGAGCTTCGCCGATACGCTGAAGTGGGTCTGGTCGCCATCGCGACTAGAGGGACGGAGAGGCGAGCCGTTCAGGCGGGTAATGGACGAAACGAACGGATAAGTATAATTATTGACTGGCACTACGCATAGTAAGAGCCTGAGATGGGCAATGGGAGCTCTATTTTTTTTGCCTGAGATGCTAGGGATCCAGCCTTGTGCTAGTTGTCGAGCTTTCAAGCTGCCGGAAGATCCTTGACGGCTCACGCTCTTCCTCGTTCGCTCAATGTTGAATCCTTCAAGTTTACAGAATAGCTCAATGGCCGCAGCTGAATGTCATGTCACAACTTGGTTGAGCCAAGGCAGGGCGGGCGGGAAACGAGAGGAACCAAAGTTGCCGGACGGGTGGGCATGGCTGGTGATTGGTTGTAGAGGCATACGGCGTGGGCCATGGTCCGACCATGGCAGTCGTGCGAAGGGAAGGGTTGACGGGGAATTGGTCTGTCTCAAAATGCACTCACATCACAACCGCCCCCACACAGTCTCTCCCCGTCATCGCGAATTTCAGAAGCTCAAATGCGCTGCGCCGTGGCGATTGACGCGGCGCGAACGGCACGACACTGGCGCTGACACACCCGTCTGTCTCCATGGTTACCACATTCGGCATCGCGAAGGTGCTGGATCGCGTCGCAGCGACGCGATTGGCGGCTGACCGACACAGATCAGCAGCACTTTCAGTGAATTTTGGACAGTTTGAAGTGCTTTTACCTCCCACTGGTTAACATATACGCGCTACAAAGATTGAGATCCTACAGTCTCGTCATTTCCCAAAAGCTTGAATGAATATATACTCTACCGAACTTCTCTAGCACTCTCCGATTCTGGCACGTTCTTATAATGGATGGTTGTTTTTCAGCAATCTTCCCGCCTGGCTGCCTTGCTCCGAGCATCTGGATTAGTCGTGACAGCCTTCACACACTCCGCCATTCTAGGTTGCTCACAGCAAGCACTCCTCCCACAGCTGTCAACTATTTGAGACTCCACGAACCAACGCCTCCTTTACTAGTTTGTTTCTAGCAGTGCAACTGCGTCCTCCTAAGTTCCGACTTGAACAGAAGGCGTTGGATTTTTCTTTATCGTTTTTTCTTAGCTGTAGAACAGGACAGAATGTCTGCCAGGAGGCGTACCTTGTTGAAGGTTATTATCCTCGGGGATAGCGGGTGCGTAGGCCTTTTTTTTTTCCGCGATCCTGCTAGCTTTTTAACGTCGCGTACCCAGCCTTTCTAACTCCTCCTCGTGGTGTTGCTTTCCCCCTATTTTTTCGCGCAGCGTCGGCAAGACGTCGCTCATGAACCAGTAAGCAGTCAGTGCGGTCCGCCGTAGTTCCAAGCGTCGCAGATTTGTCGTTTAGTTCCTCTCTGGAGCTGCCGCATCTGACCGTGCTGCTTGCGTTGTTCCCTGTAGATATGTGAATAAGAAGTTCAGCGCACAATATAAAGCTACGATTGGAGCCGATTTTTTAACGAAGGAGGTCCAAGTAGACGACAAACTTGTAACCATGCAGGTACATCCTAGCTGTTCCCCAGCGTGATTTTTGTTAGGAGGAGGAAAGGGGGAGGGTCAGATTTCCTCGCCTACCATCAGTCAGCCTTTGCGATCTGAAAAGTTATTTCTTATTGTACAGTTCTAACACCTTGTCGTTTCGATCCAGATCTGGGATACAGCCGGTCAGGAGCGGTTTCAGAGCCTGGGAGTTGCGTTCTACCGGGGAGCGGACTGCTGCGTGTTGGTGTACGACGTGAACGTGATGAAGTCGTTCGAGAACCTCGACAACTGGCGGGAGGAGTTCTTGATACAGGTGCGCGCTGTAGTGATTCGCTACAGCTACGCGTTGTGACTTACACAGAAAGTAGGAAAAATAATAAAAGACACCGGCGTGAGGAGTTCTTGATACAGTTGCGTGTCATGGTGACTCGTGAGTGGACTCATAAGAGGATTTGAACGGCCTATGCAGGTCAGGACATGATCAGCATAAGGAGGCTGCGCATGCTTTAAGAATGTTGTAGATTTTGCAGGGAGAGCTGACGCGAGCCTTGTGTGTCTTACCCTCCCGCCACGTGAACAGGCCAACCCAGCAGAGCGAGATCTGTTCCCGTTCGTGGTGCTGGGAAACAAGATCGACGTGGACGGCGGTAACAGTCGCGTGGTAAGCATACGCACGCGTGCACAGCTCTTTTCCATCTCATCGCATTCAGTAGCCCTCCTTGTCCTGCTTCAGCGCCCTCACATGGCCCATAAATCAACTCACGCTCCACACACGAGTCGTGACCCTCTCCTGCCACTTTCCTGCCTGTCTCCTGCCTGTCTCGTGCCTGTCTCGTGCCTGTCTCGTGCCTGTCTCGTGCCTGTCTCGCGTGTCGCTCGTGCCTCTTGCCAGGTATCTGAGAAGAAGGTGAAGGCGTGGTGTGCGGCCAAGGGCAACATCCCCTACTTTGAGACGTCAGCCAAGGAGGACTACAACGTGGAGGCCGCCTTCCAGTGCATCGCCAGAAACGCGCTAAAAAACGAAACCGAGGAGGACTTGTGAGTGCCCGCCTGACTTGTGCTCTTGAGCTCTTGAGCTTTTGCTCTTCGTAGTTGTTATGCGCTTGTGCTCTTGTAATCTTGTGCTCGTGCACAGTCTTTCTTGAACGTTTTGAAGTGTCCGTCCTGTTTTCTTGGCCGATTCTCCATAATGTGTTGCAAGCTGTCCTTTTCCGTCCCCTCCTTGACCCCTCGTTTGTACTGCTGTGTTGATTCTTGTGGTGTTCTGCTCCGTGGCAGCTACTTGCCAGACACAATTGATGTGAATGCTGCACGGGCCACCAAGGCATCGTCATGTGAATGCTGAAATCAGAAATGGAGTTGCGTTGTTTGGAGAGAAGCTAAATACACCAGTCAGTGCCAATCTTCGATATTAGCTAAGAAACTGTTACAATGGTGAATAGAGACGCCACAGGGCTTGTACAGCAGTTATTGTAAGCACTTGGTGAATGCATCAAGAGCGATGAGGCAACGTCGCCCTAACGTTGACATCTCACCCCTGCCATTAACATTGAAATCGAAGTCAGTCGAAATGCAGATGGTCAATAAAGAAGCTGAAAAATAGCAACACTACTGTAAAACTTACGTGTAGGGACACAGCACGTGAGGCATCCGCTATCATGTCGCAAATAGACATTGGTGGTGCTGCTGCTGCCTCCCCTGCTGCTGGTATTGCTGCTGATGCTGCGGCCTCCTCTGGTGTAGCCTCGTCTGCTGGTGCCGCCTTCTTTCTGCTCGACCTCTTGCTCCCTGCTGGGGGCTTCTGTGCTTGCAGCGACTCGAATACTGCGCTTGGATTGAACTCAAAGTACGCCTGGGAGACAGCAACGCATACCCGTGTTGCGTGGAGAGGAGACAAATGTATGAATGCTTACTGCGGAAAGCAGAGTGGGAATGGTGGCTTGAGGCTTGTGATGAGGAGGATGAGATTGTGATGGCAGATGGGGACGAGTGACGATGGAGGAGCAGTGCAGAAAGGCAGCACTGTGTGAGCACTGGGGCATGTGCATGTGCATGTGCATGTGCATGTGCATGAACAGAGATGCACATGAATGTGTGGTGTGGGCATATGAGATTGCTGATGCTGGAGAGCATGTCGACGCAAAACAAAGATTGGATTCCTCTAAAGACTGGCTGGCACGCACCTGGCAGGCGTGGCACAGCAGCACGACCAGTAGGTCCCGTTTGATCTGCGAGCCCTTGGGGCTTTGAGGCAGGTTGGCTTTTGAGTGGACTCAGAAAGGGGCGCGCACCTGGCAGGCGTGGCACAGCAGCACGGCCAGCAGGTCTCGTTTGATCTGAGAGCCCTTGGAGAGCTGAGGCAGGTTGCTGCACCCCAGGTGCTGCAGGAGGGCTGCCAGGGTTGTTCTCCCCACCCCCACCCCCCTTGGGTCTGCTGCCAGGGATGCCCTCAGCTTCTGCTTGTGTGTGGCGGTGGTGGTGGCGGCGGGTGGTAGAGGGTGCAGTGGGTGGCGGTGGGTGAGGTTGGGTGGAGGTGGGTGCAGTAGTAGCAGTGAGTGCAGTGGGTGCAGGGCACAGGGTTAGAGTATAATTAATATCCAGGATTGGGAAGAGAT